GGCTGCTAGACTTTGCTCCTGGAATGCTTCCTGGGACGAACTGGGGTCTTCGTTGGTCTCACACCCATGCACGTGGGGTTCGTCTATCTGAGGTACGTCCCGAGGGAGGGGAGCCTGGGCATAGCCAGGGGACGTGGAGGCAAGTAGTGGGAACGCGTTTTTGCTTGAATGTAGATATATGACCCTCCCCCCCTCATCCCTCTTCTTTCGCACCAGTTTCCCAAGTCAGAGATATCTGTATCATTGAACAAGCACCCGTTTCCGGCAACTCGAGTACAATTACCACAGTCGTACTCGTTCTTCACCGGACATCCTCCACCAGTTCCCGTCGTCTCAAGGAACCCAACCATCGAAACACCCAACCACTTATATACCAGCACACAACAACAGCAACCATGCTGTGCATCTTGCCAGACGAGCTCCTGCTCATCACAGGCGCAACCGGCCACATTGGCTTCTGCGTCCTCCTCCACGCTCTGCGTGCAGGCCACACCGTCCGCTGCGCCGTCCGCTCAGAGGCCAAGGCCGCCTTCATCCGCTCCCGCCCTCAGATCCTCGCCCTCAACCTCCCCCGCGCCCGCCTCAACTTCACAATCGTCCCCGACATCACCGCAGATGGCGCATACGACGAGGCCATCCGCGGCGTCTCCTACGTGATCCACTCCGCGTCGCCTTTGGCGACAGCTGACTCCGTCCCGCCGGAGCAGCACCAGGAGTACTTCATCCAGCCCGCCATGCGCGGCACCCTTGGCATGCTCGAGGCCGCGAGGCGAGCGGGCACCGTTCGTCGCGTCGTCATCACCAGCTCCATCGTCGCCCTGACCTCAGTAGCGCAGATGGAGGGCGCCGAGAAGCGTGAGACGGCCGTCCAGCCCACAGAGAGAGCAGGCTTCAAGCCTGAGCCGTACGAGAGCGAGTTCGCCGCCTACGCAGCGAGCAAGGTCGCCGCGCTGCTCGGCGCGGAGGCGTGGCTCGCGCGGGAGAAGCCCAACTTTGACGTCGTGCACTTCCACCCGTCCTTCGTCCTCGGCCGCAACGACGTCGCGACGAACACCAACGAGGCGATGAAGGGCACCAACGCCGTCGTCCTCGCCACGCTCCTCGGCAAGAAGTGGGGCTGCGCCTTCGCCGGCGCGACCGTCCACGTCGACGACGTCGCGCGCGCCCACGTCCAGGCCCTCCTGCCCACCGTCCCCGGCAACAGGAGCTACATCCTCAGCACCAAGGCGCGGTGGAACGACGCCAAGCTCATCGCGAAGCGCAGCTTCCCCGAGGCGGTGCAGCGCAAGCTCATCAGCAGCAGCGGCTCGGTCGGGACCACGCCCATCGAGTTCGACGCCTCGGCCACCGAGCAGATCTTCGGCTTCAAGCTTCAGGGCTTCGAGGAGCAGATCAGGAGCGTGGTGGGGCACTTCCTGGAGCTGCGGTTCCGCCGCCCGGTGGTCGCGACGGTATCCGGCGAGCTGAAGGAGAAGGCCTCGACTGGTGCATTGAGGTCGGGCATTGTTGCCGCCAACGCATAGGGATTCTAACGGCCGACACACCACCAATATTATGATTATGAGGGGAGCATTTTCTTTACTACTTCACGGATACATGGGACGGATTCAGGATTTCGGCGCGTCAAAAGATGATCAATGCAGAAGACCGACCTGCAAAGAATGGGCATGAACTTTTTGGGAGGAGCATTGGAAACCTTGGATACCCAGCGGCAAACTCCGCAACACCTTTTTCTAAATTCTTGTACATAGTTTTAGGCATCAATGCCTGCAACAAAAGAGATTGTAAAGAAAATGAAATCAAAGTACAGATTTACACTTTTTATCTCCTTGGTCCGAGTGCATGCGTTCCCCGTCCGCCTCGCAATCGCAGGCTTCTGTTTGCTCTTGATGAATGCGCATGTAGTTATGTCCACGCCCTACTAATCTAGCCCAAGAGCGTGTCAGCCCCGAGATTAAGCAGAGCGACGGACCCTCCTCCGCATTCCTGCAATCCAATGTGATCCTCCTGCCCCCCAGCCCAAGGGTGTTGGTTGGCTAGGTTGGTTGGTGCTGCTGGCTGGCACCACGGTCGAAATTGTCCGAGTGGCAATATCTGCTTCATCAGCTGAAGAGGAAGAGCGCGACACAGCTCCCTGCGTCCAGCCTCAATCTCCGAGGTTCGTTGCCGGGTTTGGGGGGGAGGGGGGCAGGAGCAGGCATATGCACGTGGGACGCTGGGAAGGCAGGGCGACAGCAGCGGCGCGTTTGTCTACGGTACCCCGGTCTGTGGCCTCGAAGTGCTGGCAAGACCCTTTCTCTGTTTCTGACCGGATTCGGGACCTGTTCGGGCTAGGAGGCGGCTCGTTTGGCCCGAATTATTTTTGGGAGCGATGCAGAAGGGATGGAGAGGAGGGGATGTCCCTGAATCTTTGGGTCGCGAATGTCTCACTCTGGGAGAAACAAGATCTCAGATTTTGGCTGGAACGGCTTTTCCGGGCTCTCTTGGCGCGCGGCTGAAGACTGGGACGGATGGGGATGGGCAGCTGAGAAGCGGGCATGAAACGGTTCGTCGTCTTCTGGAAGGGGAGGAACTGCGTAGAGCAAGGGACAACCTAACTGGGACCAAGCAGCCCGAATGGATGCATGTTCTATTGAAGAGTCGGACGGGCATTCGTCGCGTCCCGCGTGGAAGGGATATGCAGCGCGATGCGCGAACGCGGCCGACGGCTGAAAGAACTGCACCGCTGCACCGGGGTAACGATGTCTCCCAGCCAGAAGAACATGGTGCTCGAAGGGAGGCCAGACTGAAAGCAAAGGGCCCAGGCCTTCTCCTCGCTTTTCTTCCAATCAAATGCTGCCATGGACGATGGCCTGGTCCAGACTGGGCTGGCCATGCAGCGAAACCACAGACCGTCCCGACCCTCTGGTTTACCTCGCATGAGCCCTGACGGTGCTCAGATTTGCGCGCCCTGCGTGACATAAGCGTGGAAGACGCGCCGCGCGCCAGAACACATCCACGGCCCAGGCTAGGCTTATCTCTCGCCCAAAAGGGGTCCTCCTCCACGTTCTTGTTCCTGCTTGGACGTTGGGCTGAAAGGGGCGCTTTGCACGGATTGGAGGAACGCCTTGATGACGGGAGATTTTAAGCGAGGTAGAGGGCTGAAGGGGGAAGAGGAATCTGAGCGTCCGGCAGTTGAGGATTGAGATCTTTGGGTACCTTATCCGATGAACCCACGGGTCCTTCAAGATGCTTACGAGAGATGGGGGGATTGCTTATGTTCCCGCGATGGCAGGATGAGATGGGGTTTGATCAGCAGAGTTGGACAGGCACCCGCGAAAGAAAAGAGATCCTTGGCGCATCCTTCGACCCACAACCGAATCATCATGTCGTCGGAGGTGATGGCCGTTGCCTAACGGCTCTCCGCCTCTTACGGCTTCGTGGCAGCCCGACGAAACGGTTCCTGACATTGCTCAACGACTCACGATACATCTCTCAAAGAGGCAAAAAAGGGGCGACGCCTCGCAAGCCACGCGCCGACGATATCAAACTCTCTCGTCAGCACCAAGCGCTCCTCTCCTCACAAACGCCAGCGCTTGCCTGGAAATGGCATCGTCCGACCGCCAAGAACGACTCATGTCTCCTCCGCGCCGTTGCTCGGCTTCTTCCGGAGAGGTACCCAAGCCCAGAGGCGACTTGGACATCCTCATCGACAGAGACAACCGCGAGGACTGGCACGGCATCGTCCTGCGCGCCCGGAAGCACATGCGCTGCGTCCCCCACCATCCGGACAGATACGCGCTGGTCGAGTACGACCCATCCTCCCCGGAGGGCGTGAACCTACGCACCGGCGACAGCAACACCACGGGGCATATAGAGAAGGGGCCCCCTCCGTCGGCGGACGGAGCGGTGGACACGCCACTACCGCCGGCGCCGCCGCCCACATTCCACCTCTTCGCCCACCTCCCCAAGGAGCTGCGCGACAAGATCCTGCTCGCGAGCGTGCCCCCCGTGAGAATCGAGGCGTTCGTCAGGGTGGACTTTGAGTGGAACCACGGGCCGCAGGCGCGCTTCTCGCAAGAGACGATCAGGGCCTGGCGCGACGTGGTGCTGTACGCCGTCAGCGCGGAGACGCGGCGGCTGGCGTGCGCTGCGTTCGGGGTGCCTGATCCGCTGGGGTTCCCGTTCAGCACCGTGAAGGACGCGATGTGGTTGCTCTGGGACGGGGGCAGGATGTGGGCTGGGCACAGGTTCTTGAAGGACTGTAGGGAGGCCGGGGCGGTGGTGCAGCGCGGGTCCCGGGAGTGGGTTATGCCGGAGGGGTTGAGGGCCAGGGTCGCGGAGGTTGTGGTGGAGGGGGGGATGTATGGGTTCTTTGATGGCGGGAGGAAGGGCGCGTGGAGGTATGTGTTTGGGCTTTTGAAGGAGTTTACGGGGGTGAGGGTGCTTACGGTTGAGATGTGGGATTTGGATGATGGGGGGTTTGAGGGGGTGTGTGATGGGGAGAAGGAGGAGGTGTATCGGGTTGATCAGCTGGATTTGTTGGATGAGCTGGAGGGGATGAGTGAGGATGGGGTGGTGCCGTTTCCTGGGTTGAGAGTGTTGAGGATTAGTTCTGTTCTACCGACACCCAAACAGACTCAGGGACGGCTGAGGTTTCGGAAGGTGAATGGAAGTCATTTCGTGGTAGTCAGGAAGAACGAGGTGCCAGCCGCCGGGGCTTGAATCTCTCTCCTGAGTGCGGATCTTGGTGCAACGACCTGATTGAGAATACAGTTATTATTCAAGCAAGGGTGATTATTCTCTTCTCTATCTGATGAGACGAGACCATGGTATTTGCAAGTGCCACGTCTCGTTCTTCATCTATGCGAAGGATGCCAGCTCTTCTAAACTTTCCATCCTCTTCCCAGGCGCCTTTAACCACAATGCAGTCGATGAAACATGGCTCTGGCGAGCCTTCACAGACTGCTTCCCGTTTGCAAAAGACGAATTGAATGATCCCGCTTCTGGGTAGCTTCTCGTCATCCGCTGTGTCCGGCAACCAACGTGCATGCATCTTCTGTGGAGAACATCCATTTTCCAACTGAATAATCAAATGTTCAGTTTCACTCCCTTGAGAGTACCGAGCGGTACCAAAAGGGCCATGCAGCGTGAGAAATCCTTCGACCACATTGAGAGTTGGGTCGACATCTTTGGTGATCACACCGACGTCCTCGACTTGAACAAAGAAGTCTATGACTTTCTTCGCATTCGGGCCCCGGATGTACACGGGTCCATCAATGGATGCCCAGGACCACGATGGGGCGCGGTATTTCGTCGACAATCTTGGCCCAGGTTCTGTTGCAGTCCAGCAAAGTTGATGAAGCAATTCCTCTTCCCACATACCGGCCAAGTACCGATATCCAGTGGCTTCTTGAAATAGGTTTGCGACCCCGGAGAATGCGTTGAGGCGGTCCTCAGGTCGCGTGAAATGACATTCGGAGTACTGCATAACCAGGTGCGTCCATTCGCGCAAGGTTCTCTCTGTGTTTTGACTATGGTCAATTGATGGTGGCTCATGGCCCGGCACTCCATCGACAAACCCCTCGCATCTGTGAGTCTGTCTGCACTCCCACATGATCTGGTCTTGTGTGAAGTACAGCAACCGTGGCGCCAGGAAGCATTCTTGGAATACCCAGCCCCGATGGTGGAGCGTACCGCGGTAAAGACGATTGTACCAGTAATTGGAAGTAAAGATCAAATTCCTTTCGAGAGATCCGGTCGTCAAGGTAGATTCGACGATTCCAGGGCGGATTGCATCGGCGTCTCGCTGTCGGAAAAGACCGCCGTCGGGATCATTGGAAGCAGTGGCCGCAACGTTGCAGAATGCTTTTGCGTAGATATTTCGCATGGTCCCAGCCTCAGCATCCCAATCAGCGACCGAGTCTTGCATGATACACAAACAGTCGACCCAAAGATACTGTATACCAACGTGACGAGCTACAACAAAGAGATCTCGGAATGTTAGAGGTAAGAGTGCGACGGGTTTCCCGGCTCGGAAAGAGGGTAGATTCGACGAAGAGAGACGGGTGGTTTGGTGGGAACCCCACCGGTAACTCAGAGTAATGTACGAAATGGGAACACCAGTCCCTACATCATCTTTGGTAATGATGACTTTCCATTTCTGGTCATCTTCGAGGCCAATATCAACTAGCCGCGTGGGTAGCCAGTTTGACGTTGGCGACGAAAGGCCAGCACAGTTCTCGTGAGTGAGCGAGCATTGGCGAAGCCAGTTGAGCGCCGTGTCAAGCGACGTTTTAGATGATGTGCACTTCTCAACCGGAGGAAAGGGCCTCAAACAGGTCGGGTGATCTAGATGGCCTCTGATTTAGCTCCTGTGGCAATACATACCCAACCAGAAGTATACTTGAAAAGGACGATGAAAGATACCTTTGGCAGGGAAAAGATCGAAGAATCTGTACAGGCTGATGGCATGGTTTTCAACGTAGACGTACAGCACTGTATACGCCTTTCCACCTGCAAGATGGCGTCGTGGGGCAAATGACAATGGGGTCCATGAGCCCTCATCAAGAGTTCGCCAGTAGTCTGTCTGGTCCTCGAGTGCTCTGCGCATGGTTGAGCAAAACAAGCAACCATCTGAAGCTGCCTTTTGGAATGTCTGCAGGCTGTGCTGCTGAACCTGTACCGCATCTGATGCGACTGGTACTGTCTGGAGAATTTGACTGCAAGCCAGGCATATTTTGCTGAGACCTGGCTCGAATTCGGACGCCATATCGGAGAAAATGGAAGTGAAAGGCTATCTCGACGACAAACGTGCCATCACGAAGCTTATTATGAGGCTGACAAGGGAGGCCAATTAGCACGCCAACACGGCTAAGCGTCATGTGATTCCAAGACAACTGCATTTTTGCATCGGTTGGACAAGCTAGTCGCATTTTAAGTAATGATAAAGTTCGTCCTGGGCACCCTTTTTTGAAGTTGTCAATTCCTTCAAAACAAATGCTGGCCTTTCGTTGTCCACAGTCAAGTCCGAAATCTAGGCCCATTTACCGCTTCCTACATCCATGCAGTCTCTATCAACAATACAGTCTGTGTATAATATGACTAGTCTTTAGAGTATTTCTTCCAAATTCTATAGTGTACTACTCGATTCCGCTCTGTCGCTGTTTGATTACCATCTTGACATTGAGTCGGGCGTCATGACAATCCCTCTATGTTGAACATCACGGCAGAGTCTCCAGCGCTGTCGCCTCTGTCGCACACAATGAAAGTCAAGTCCTGTTTGCCCGACTCTAACGCAACATCGAAGCTGAAAACTCCAGTCGTTATCTCGTAAGACAATCCAAGCTGCTCGCCTGGCACGCCAGGCTTCATTCGCGGATCGCGCTTGGCAACCACCACGCTCTCCGGCACCGGATTATTGCCTGATGTAAGTAACTGTGCTGCATCAAGCTGGAAACGACGACCGCTTTGGCGTGTGTTAGCCCAACATACTTTGACTTTGGCGTAGTGGATATTGACTCACTCTTCCGCAAAGAGATAGTTCACTCGCAGAGCCCGAACTCCAGACTGAGCCGTGATGTGCAGGCGAAAGATGGAATATTCGCGCGATGGCGCGACGGGACAAAGCACCATGCTGTCCTGGCCGTAGCCCCAGGAGCCGTCGAGGGTGATACCGGGGGTCGCCGATGCCGCCTGCCCGGTTGTGAGAATGACACCAGTCTCCAACCCCGCGGGCCCGTTTGTAAATGTGCCTACAGCGGACCAGACTGACACAGGGTCGGCGGCTCGACGTTTCGTGGGGGCAATAAGCGAAGAGTCGATCGGTGTCAGCCTGCTATCTCTTACAGCGGCAGCGGTTATTGCGCTTTTGATGGCATTGTAGTCGGTTCCTCCGGGGGTGACAACGATGCCAACAACTGTTAATGCCAAGGCAAGAAGGTGAATTAGACCTAGCTTCATGATGAGAAAAGGGTGAATAAAGTTACAAAGGCGAACAAATCGTGTATGCATCTAGTCAGAGAAGCGCCTGGTGAAGAAGGCATGGTGCTGGATTATAAACAATCTCGTTGGCGATCAATCTCTCGTTGAGCTGAACTCTGGCAGCTTCAGGTTGTCTTGGCAGATGGCCAGGAATGACCTCGTGTTTTTGACTGCTGATCAGTCCACCAGTCAAAAGACTCTATAAGCGCGAAGGTGCATGGAAGCGCCCAGGGAACCCATACAACGCACTCGGAGGCGCGCCGCAATACACATTGTCCCATTTTTGCCAGCCTACTTTAGCTGAAGATCGGCGTCTCCCTTGACGTGATCATTCCATTGCGGGGCGGCAGAGCTTCCAGCATATCATAGAAAGAAAGTTGAGGGACGAGCATTCATCTCTGCAAGCGTCCAGAAATCGACCTAAGGAACCAGAGCAGCGCCAGGCAAATGAACATCCCACAAGAAATAAGAGATACCTCGTGGGATTCATTCAACTGAGATAGCTATCGTGTCGCTGAGATCAACTTATGCCGTTGGGTGATCCTTCCAGCCACTAAATAACCTAACGTTTCAGCCACGTCTTGGCCTTGTGCAGAGAATGATGAGACTACTCGCCCTAGCCTGACCTGCCCTTGCATGAGGTTTCGAATGGTAGTTGGAAAACATAAATGTCTACAAGCAACTGCGACAACGACGAAGGTTATCATTACCAAGCAGGCCTGCGTCGATGGCATATTCAAGCGGATCGCGAACCCCTTGGCAGCTAAAGCAGCCTCGTCGTCGCTCTCAGTGCATTGTTAGTCAGAATCAACCGCTGTTCCTGCATTTCAAGGGTTCGTTTCAGCATCGAAAGGAAGAGACACCTAGGAAATGTCGAATGCTACCAAAGATTCTAAAATGAGAGTGATATTGTTCCTAAACGTGTAGGCGGTATCTCCAAGACCAATGCTTCCTCGCCCCGTCAAGCAGCGACTCCATGTCCCTCACATACTCCTCCATTCCAGTTCCCGAACCAGCCACAAGACCGGCCTCTACACTTTGATAGGCCCAGGAGCGTGCTTGGTACTCATAGCCTGCGCCGTTCCACTCGCGGGCTGCGATAGCGTATGCCTTGCAAAGGTAAGAGTCCAACCCCTCCTGCTTGTATAGGTTGACTAGCAGCTCGGCCATTGCCGTGGGTTCGGCCGGGGCGATTTCACGAGTTTCTAGGTACCCTTGTAGTAGGTGAATCTCATTGACTCGGTCGTCGGATAGCTCTGCAAACTTGGAAGGGGCTTGACAGTGACTACAAGCGCACTTGAAGCCGAGCGCGTCTGTTGAATAGTGTTGCCGTTCTCGCGGGGTCTGGATGGGGTCGAAGTAGGATATGGTAATCTCTTCGCCAGCGGCGATGTCACGGACTGCCCACAGCCTGTGTGCGAGCAAGTCCCAGTCCCACTGAGATGCTGCGTTGGAGCGGCAGCTGTGGTTGATTTTCTGCCGTGCTGTCAGTTCATCAAGGATGATGGTACGATGCGCCTTGGGAACTCACGGATATGTTTGCGTGTACTGCTATCATGCCGAGGTCCGCTTCATCGTCCAACCCCGGCCAGTCCTCTGCGGGTCCACCAGAGACGCCATATCCATTCGTCCAGATCTTTTGCTTCAGGCCCTTTGTAGAAGTGCCGATGAAAAGCTCGTCAACCGTTTGACGTGTTGGTCTTGGTAGCTCCGCAATAGCTAACGCTTGGAGTGATGCTCGCGCTTCCTCGGACGAGATGTCTTCGACCCAGTTGCGGTCCAGGAGTATGATTGGCGGCTCCTCGGTGATGAGGCTGCCTGCGGGTATGTGTCTGGTTGCAAATATACCCCGCCCTTTGCTTCCACTCGGTGACGTTCTGAATGACGCTTTACGGGTGAGGCTGAGGTGGTGATCTGGCGCCGAGGCGATAGATTTGGCGATGTGGAGGATGCGCTCGGGGGTTGTTATCACGGTGATGCCCTTTCCGTGGTCGAAGTGTGGGTTTGAGAAGATGCAGTATTGCTTTGAGTGGCTGTCTGACCAGATGCATGTGGACTGTTGGTTAGACAAGGTGGTGTTCTGGGGCGTGGAAAGATAGATCTCGGGTTGCCCACGAGTGACAGGGCACAGCAAAGTGTCGTTAACATAAAGTGCAAGCGTATGAGAACTGTGACCGCTTATAGGCGTGTAAAGGGTAGACATATCAAAACAAAACGCTAGTCTAGTGTAGATAAATGCGCTGAGGGCTTTCGTTAGATGCATTCTGGGGGAGATCACGGGTGGAGGCTGAAGAAAACGGTAGGAGCACGATGCTATTGCGTTGTTGGCCTATGGAAAGATCCGAGTTTCAGACTGAATTTGAGGAAGGGAAATAGATGTCCCTTCCAAACTTCGGGATGTTTACATCTTATTGAACACTGTCTGCGGGGGGTTGGTGAATATACTTTGCGGAACTCTCTCGGATTATCACGCATCCTGACCGAACTCTGCTACATGCCGTCAACAGCTGACTTTTAGTTGAACCTTTGGCCTAACTTCTCGGTGTGTAATTTCCTCATTGATCTCACGAAAGCCCGTCGAGACCACCATCGCGCCTTGGGGCTGTTGGTAGATAGAAAGTGGTTATTTAAATAAGAGCATCACAGCATCATTATGGGACTTTTCTCAATAACCCAAGCCAACACCAGTGATCTGGATTTGCTTAATACAGTCGAAAATGCGTGCCCTCATCTTTCTGTTGCTCCCCACGGCGGCTCTCGCGCAGAACGCCGGCATGTGCAGCGATTGCTCTCCGCCCAGGGGCCGCAACGGGCAGCCGATCATGGCCGTCGGCGGAGTGATGGGCGGCGGGGCGTTTGGAGTGCCCATGGCTCCTCCAATTCTGAATCCGCCGCCACCCTTCATGATGGGCATGTTCAGAGGCAGGGGGGGCCGCGGGGGTGGGCGCGGGGGCGGCGGAGGTGGACGTGGAGGGGGAGGAGATCCGATCATGGAATCGGTTCCGAACAAGAGCCGGACCTCACGCACGCGGCCGGCACGAACACGTCCGAACCGGAAAAACGGGAGGCGCGATTTGGAGGAAGAGGAATTTGCGTAAGCCTTTGGGTCCACGATCTTTTGATGGGAATGGTTGCTGACTGAACACGCTTTAGGGGGATCCAGCGCCCCCGGGTTCACGAGAAAAACGCGATGAAGTGGGATGGTTGATGTCTGGCCCTGAAATCGGGTGTCCGACGCTCAGTGAAGAGGGGGGGGGGGGGAGACTGATGAGAATTGGAGGGCTGGAAAATCCTTGAAGGCACGAATTTGTCGGGTTTTAGGACTAGATGCTGTTATTACTCATGGACACACTCGTTCAAGTACAACGTGTCTGATCAAATCTCCAAGTTCTGTGTTTTGCGTGTGGGCTTTAATCACATGAAGCTTTTCAGGCACGCAGGTGTTTCTCACGTTCTGTGCATTTGCCCCTTATCACAGTCAAATTGAAAGTTGAGCTCTCATATTATATCTTAAACAGGAAATGATGTTGCACATTGTAGTTTGCATTGCGTACGGTTGAGCTAGCATACAAATGATATCCAGCTGCCTTACTCCCCTCAAGGCATGGCAGCCGCAGCTGCTACAAAGAAATGTCAACCGTCTATGAGAGTACCTGATTGGACGCAGCCCCGGCGCATTTCTTAGAGCGTGGTACACTATGAGTAGTGGGATGATATCGTATTTGCGGCGATAGCATTTGTTCTGTCAACTTTACCAGGCGTAGTTCAGTCTCATTATTGATCCACGATGATGAACGTTCTGAGAAGGGAGGATTGGAGAGATGGTGCTAGTTAGGATTCAGCTGAATTAAACCCCCAAGCCTCTACTCGTTCGCTTCGTGAAGGTCTTTAGTCGCTAGGTCCATCCACATTTCATGCGACGGAGTTGGCTATTTTCCGTGCTGGATTCTCGGGACATTTTCTGCTCGTGGGAGGCTATGTGGCGTGATCTCAGTGATTGCGATTAATTCCAGCCAACAAAGCAACCCGAGAGGTCTGCCAATGCTAGACTAGCTCAAAGATTTGCCCGCAGTCTTGTGCCACCATCGACTACGCGCTTGCCCGACCGAGAGATACAGGCTCAAAATCCTTCGCTCCGGATATTCTCTATAGCTAGTGTTCAACTATCAGCGTAATGGAATATCCGGACCATGCCCCGTCTCCCGCTACCAAAAACGTTACTGAAGCAGATCTTGTGGAACTTAGCGATCATGACATGTTTACGAAGCTGCAACTTCGAAGGAAGATGTCTTAGAGTCTTCTTTATCCTTTTCGCACATTGCGATCACACTAGGCAGTCATCGTTAGTGTAAACTTCATCTCTACGCTACCTTTCCTAAACAGGTGTCCAACGGTCGCACAGGAGGGAATGATGAAGTTGCAAATGCCTACAACAACCTTAAAATCGACTCGGAGACCCAGGCTCGGAATTATCTTCCCTGAAACCGCAATCGTTGCTGAACGTCACGTGGGGAAAGTTTCGCTAGAACCTATAGAGCATACGACTTTCTCCAACTTGGCTCTGGGCCCAGTCAACGCATTTCCGAGATTGAACTTTGTCGTCCCTGTTGACGTCTAGAACAGCGACGGAAAAAGCTACAAGGTGAAGACGCAATTACCGGAGAGAACGGGGTCGGAGCTAGACCGACAGGGACCCGTCTAGTTCAGGGGAACTACGTGGCTCGTAGCCGACAGAAAGGCCATCATGAATAACGTCTACAGGCTACCTCTTGGTCCCCTTCTTTTTTATGGGGCAATTCGATCCCGTTACAACTCTCTCCAGCATCCTATCCGTAGCTAAACAACCAGTAGTACGCCAAACGGGTTGAGCTCAAGATTTCTTTGTATATCATTACAATCTATTACGTCGCTAATATTATTTCTACGGGCTTTCAGAAAGATGAATGCCCAGTCTCGCTCTAACCCTTTCCACAGCATCCCTATCTTCACCTTAGGCCGCAGGTTTCCTTCCAACCATGAGGTACATCGGCGTAAACAACTTCTTCTTACCACCCTCTACGAGCGCATCAGCCGCTTTGCCCAGACTCTCCGCCGTCTTTCTAGTGCCGGCCGGAATGACGCGGACAGTCTCGAGGACGCTGAAGAAGTTGTGCGCGACCACTCGACCCCACTTGTTCATCCTCAGGACCGTCAGCGCATCCCACAGCGTTTGGGCGTAACGCAGGTCGCTGTCGAGAGGCCAGTACCACGGCGCCGGGCCGTCGTCGTCCGCTGCAAGGTCGTGGTGCAGTTCAAGATCGAACCCAGCTGCCCTGATTGCGGCGAGGCCGTCGGAGATCTTGAACATCTGCGCAATACCGTCGCCCTCTTCGATGTGCAGACGGATGCGACGATGCTCGAGGTCGTTGTTGTTGAACTCCTCAGTCATGAGCCACTCGTAGACACCGAACACACCGCCAGGCTTTAGAACGCGGAAAATCTCCTTGTACACGCCTTCTAATGACGGTGCGTGGACCGTGGCTTCGATGGCGTAGACGGCGTCGAAAGAGTTATCAGGGAAGGGGATGTTCTATACGCGAGGTTCCTTCATTAGTATCACTGAACCACTGAGGAGGAAGATGATGACACCACCTGGGCCATCTCGGTCCAAGCTGCTACGTACCATGAAGTCGCCTTGAACAAAGTCAAGCTTGTGAGATAGGCCCTCCTTGGCAGCATAGTTTGTCGCCCGCTGTACTTGGTACTGGTTGATGTTCAGACCAGTCACATGGCAGCCAGTGAACTTGACCATCTCACGGGCCGGCCCGCCAACGCCACAGCCCACATCAAGAACCTTCATGCCACCCTTCAGTCCCATGTTGTGCGCAAGGTAGTGCTCGTGGCGGGCGATGGCGCGAGAGAACGCCTCGCCGTAAGCGAACCGGCAGAAGTGGAACGAGGCACCCCAGGCGTACTCATAGAGGTCTGTTGCAAGGTTGTAATATCTGAGCAAGGAAATTAGTTGGCAGTTCACGAGAGAGCTTGAGAGCTAGTGGTTGTAGGTGAGCCTTACTGTCTGGTGAGACTCGCGTAGTCTGCTGTGCGAGCCTGCCTGATCTCGTCCGTCTCGTCTTCGGCGTGCTTGCCATCCCAGTGTTGGAAGTACTCATCGACAGCGGCGGCATGCGCGGCGTTGTCCTTGCCCATCATGGACCGGATGCCACCTTGGGTCTTGCCGGAGCCTCCATGCAGGGCATGATCGAAGGCGTTTTTCTTAACCTGCTCGGCGGAGATCAGCTCTCTACTTGTCGCCATGGTGTTGTCTGAGGTCTGATACTGAAAGATGAGATGAGGAAGAAGTTCGTGGAATAGCTTGGTCGTAAGAGAAAGGCGAGCCCCAGTAGTTAAAGAAAAGACGAACCCCTTTGTCTTCCAATCTCGAAATAGTTAATTCATCACATTTCAGGGACCCCATTTGTACCTGCATGACCGAATAATCTAACGATTGAGACGCTTGATTGGTTGGAGAATGCTCTGGACTGTTTGTGGTCGGACAGACAGGTTCGGAACACGAATACGAAAGACTGTCAGGAAGCGTGGTACGTATCTCTGTCGCAAGGGACTTTGGGAAATGTGCTCCCAAGGCCCCCTGTCACCAGCTTATCCAGTCGTAATCGTATTCGCCTGCCCCATATTAATCACCATCACGTTGAACCAACAGCACCAGACGCTAATTATCCGAGACAAAAACGGGAATGAGTCTGGAACTGACAAACTGCCAAGCTGAGAGGAATTCGGTGGATGCCATATGCAAGTAAGACTGACAAGCCAGGGATGTTCGGGCGCAAGGTGCTCCATCTAGTTTTCCCGCTCCCCACTCGGCCTCCACCGGGTTGGGACGGCCAAGTCTGACATCTGCGGCCGACCCGTGCCGCTCATGCGTAAGGCTTAAGAGTACCAGGATGCCTCATTTCACGACACATACGAATATGGGTACGGCTCAAGCTAAACATGTGGAACAAGTTCAAGAGCACTCCGAGCACGCCCGCCCGGGTGCCGTCGGATGAAGTAATTCCCCTGCATCATTTTGACGACAACCCTATCTTGCGGAAGATCGTGGTCAACTTCATGCTGAAGTTTGACGATATTCTTGATCCTGAGAAACTCCGCCAAGCCTTGGAAAGACTTGTGACGAGAGAGGATGGCTGGCGCAAGCTTACAGCGCGCCTGAGGTTAAACGTAAGAACACTTTCCAGTTCTGGTAATTTCTGCCTGTGTCTATGAAGCAAGCTATCAGAAAATCGATCAGCGGGTGTGTTCAGACTGACTTAAGCATTTCATGACCAGGAACAAGGCAAGCTTGAGTACCACGTGCCAAAGAAATGCAGCGCGTCGAGACCAGCTCTTGTCTTCTCCCATGTCAACTACGACATGCCCACGACTGAACACCCGATCGCCATCCATTTACCAAAGTCAACGACATCCCCCTCAGTTGTGGCAGATCCGAACGAACTACATCCGTTGACGCGTCCCAATGATGGCCCTAAGGAGCTTGTCGACTATCTCTGCACAGACTTGCCTCAACTGGGTCTTCACATTGTTTCCTTTCACGATGCAACACTCGTCTCTATTACATGGCCTCATACCCTGATCGATGGTTCAGGCCAGAAGGAGATTTTCCAAGCATGGTCCTTGGCACTTCAGGGCAGAGACGACGAGATCCGGCCGTTGGGAGGGGTTGAAAACGACCCCTTGGGCAAGTTTGGTCTTCAACCTCAGGAGGTGTACAAGCATGCCGACCGGCTTGTCACTGGGCGGGGCCTTTTGACCATGGGCCTTCGCGTTGCATGGGACAGTCTGTGGCGTGGAGAGGAAGCTCGCGTCATCTGCATGCCGGTGTCTTATGTCAAGGCACTTCAAGACACAGCAATCCGGGATCTCAAAGCCTCCGGCATTGCAAACGACAAGAAGTACGGTTCTTTCGTGAGTGAAGGCGATGTCCTTTGCGCCTGGTTGGCTCGTCTTGCCATCGCAAACCAGCCAGGAAAGAAGAGTGTTTCTATCATGAATGCGATCGACATCAGATCCATTCTAGGCGGCCCCGACGACCTGCTGCCGGCGGATCGCGCCTACGTCTCTAACGCGGTTCTGGCTCTCTACGCGTTGCTGTCAAGAGATGAAGTGTTATCTCAATCACTTGGTCACTTGGCAGCTTCTATCAGGGAGTCGATAACCAATCTCGGCACTCGAGAGCAGGCTGAGGCTTACGCCGGAATGGCCAGACAGTCTCAAATCGACACTGGATACCCTCCAGTATTTGGCGATGCTTGGACGCAGGGGTTGGTGTTTTCGAATTGGACCAAGATAAATTACTTTGAGCCAGACTTTTCAGCGGCGATAGTAGGCACGGAAAAGAAAGATGGAACGGGAGCCAAGTCTTTTGGAAGGCCAACGTACATACAGATGTCCGGCTTCTACAAAGGCATGCCTCTTCGTAATAGCTTCTCGATCATGGGCAAAGATGCGGATGGAAAATACTGGTTGAACGCAGTCTTGCCAAAGGGAGTTTGGAACCGGATTACTGCGAATGGCGAAGGAGCTCTGAATGGATTGTTTCTTATACCGGACGTAATGGCCAAGCTATAGTTATAAACGAACTTGTTTCCTTGCATTCAACAGTGCATCTTTGTCCAAGGATGGGGTGAGGGAGTTTTAGGGTTTTCTATTCGTTGGCAGTGACACTTGGGTGAGAAGTCCACGAGAATCCAGAATATGCGCTTGACGAAGTTTCATACCTGATTCCGTAGCCGTCGTACACTACTACCATGACTTCACTATCTGCAGAGTAAAAATCAATTCTGATTTACCATGTCTATAATATTCTCTAACTGACAACTGCATAACGCCTGGCATGACTCATAATGTATCCAACCACGCCTCATTTAGCATCGCTCAGCATCTCTCTTCTTGATATTCTGACATTGAAATCCCTTTGGAAAAAGATACCATAACACAGACTGGTCCATGGTCTTTGGCTGTTGACGCATTGTATGTCGTATCTGCGGAAGAGCTAAGCCAGAGTTAGTTAATCCATGGTATTTTGAAGCACCTATTCTTGATGGGTGATTGCCCGAGCCCCTGCACTCTAGAAAACGACGTGAGTGTTCACTTACCTCAACGAACATCTTGTTCAAGTTCATCATTGCAATAGGGATACCCAAGCATCGCGTCATTCCATGACCAAATACAAGTTCCTGCACCTTGGCCATAGCCGCCAACTGTGCACCATCGTCATCGTAGCTCTCATGCAGCCATCGTTCGGGCCGGAACACATGGGGGTCATCGCCGAAGACTGGATGCAGTTGTGTACCCCAAGCGTTCAACCCTACAAATGTGCCACCAGGTATGCGACGTCCATCCGGCAGCTCCATCCCCTCTGGCGGTGCCTCGCGCTCGCGTAGCTGTGTGATTGGCGGAAATCGTCGTAGCCCTTCCCGGATGACGGCTTGCAGGTAGGGGAGACCCTGAGCTTCGGCGTTGCAAACAGGGGAAGAGATACGCCCCTCGCGTTCTGCGGTGGTAATTTCTCGTACAAGACGCTGGTATACAGTAGGCGTTGAGATGACAGCCAGTAGAGTAGCTCGGATAGCTGTGGCGGTTGTATCAGAGCCAGCAACCCTGTCCATAAAAGTCAGCATCACACACTCGTTTGATATTTTGAAGACAAGACTATCATACAAAGAAATCGAGATCTCCATCTCAGCTTGGTCGGGTGTCAGGCCTCGCTTCATGAAGGACCCGAGCATATCATGCTTCTGCGCCTCACTTTCGCTGAGGCGGTCGTCAATGACCTTCCGAGATAACTGGAAGATTGAAGTTGCAAATCAGTATGCATCCCTGAACTAGGTCACGCGTAATGAGATCACTTACACCCATCACCACACCAATGCCACTCTTGTCCGCCGATGAGGGCACCACCAGCCGCCGCAAGCTTGGGATCTTAGCCGCCCATCGGAGAACAGTATTCAGATAAAGAAAGACCGAGAAGTGCTGTACAATGGGCAGTTGTTGCTCGATGGTCGCAATAAAGTTGTGCATATCTGTGTCCGATTCTACGAATCCCATCGGCTTTCCGAAGCAGACATGTGTGATAGTGTCAATCGTGAAGAACTGCACACGTCGGGCGATGTCAAAAAGTCGGGTCTGTCCTGGGGCTGACAGCCAGTTCTTATCGATACTGTTGATGAACTCCGTGATACGCTCGTCCACGACATCCTCAAGACCCTCAATGTCCTTTCCGGCGTACCCGGCGGACATGCGGCGTCGCATCGCATTGTGCTTTCGAATGTCTCTTTCGGAGACAATGTTCGGAACTCGAGGATCAATGCGAATAGCATCGAACCATGGGCCGCGACGCCACTTCGAGCCGACTGCGAGGATTGTCCTTGTCAATTCAGGATCATCCGTGACCAAGTGATTCGGGCCAATGCGGGAAATCGACCCATACTTCTTGTTGGTGTCGACAAACACCTGTGCTGAGTTGGTTGATGCCAGTGTTTTGGAGAGCCAGAAGCGGGAGTAGGCAGCCCACCAGGGTCCTGAGAAATCTCGCAGATGGAGAGTTGAAGTTAAGGTGCTGTTGAAAAAAGAGATGACAACCACCGAAAAAACAAATATGGCAATGAGATCTCGAATCTGATCCCGAGAAGTATTGGAGACAATTTTGGCAACTTCAGCCGCAATTTCCTCGAAGGTGCTGTTCTGTGGGAGGGGCCATGAGCCATGCTCAAGCACCATCGACCCATTGGGCCGCATTTGGAAGAGAGTAGCCATCGTGGACCTTGCGAATTCAGCACGGAGAGCAGACGTAACAGTCTGACAAAAGAGAAGATGATGAATACCTGTGTGGCAGTCAACAGGGTGTGCCCGCAGGCGAGAATCCGCTATACGAAAGTATGAAAAAATTTAGAAGGAAAAGGGGTGATAAGAAGTCCCTCGATGCTCGTCTGCGAGGGTCTTAAATGACAAGCTGTCAGAACCCTTCCGTAACAGGCTAGAGAAAGGGATATGAGCAACAAAGGAGCAGGTCGGTTATATAGAGCGCAGGGGGTATTTCGCATAGAAGAGGAATATTTCGGTCATTCATCTTGCAACGCCTGACTGCAGATGGCCTGTGTAAGCCTTCACTCTGTGTCACACACCTATTGACACAAGCATGAAAACTACCAGTAGGGAGCACCAGATATCAGAGTACAGTAGACACACACCCCTTCTGGCAGTGCTGAAGACTCGCCTCTTCCACGCATCGGATGCAAATCCTCTTTCGGCTATTGTCAGTTATTCGCTCATGTGCATTCACGAGCTCGAGTGTGGCTCGTAGGATCCTTTCTGCAGTCATCACGACCACCACCCAAGCGACGGAGCAGGTGGCATTGCTATTGGCTCCAGAGCCGCTCTTTCACATGATACGACTGGCCTCCGTTCACTTCGACTCATCTTGAGACTTTTGCTGACGTTGGCGTGGGATTCTGTCTCTGTGACAAAATGTTTTGATCTGTCTGGTCCATGTGTTGTATATCCGTGAGAGCCGAGGCTGACATGACTCCTTACAGAATCGGGTTGCTGAGCCTGTCAATTCTGTGCCCTCACTGTCATCATCGGTAGGGCAGACGACTCTGCGAGAGGCGGATGCAGTCGAACGGTTGAACACTGGAGGATGGGGTCCGGCGTACACGTCATCCATCAGCTCTGTGATAGGCCACAAACCTAAAACAACAGGGGCACAGCAATGTCAAAGATCACCTGGAACCTGAATTCAACTCAGTCAATGTATCTCACTGACATCTACAGCCAGTGTGGACGGCGCTTGATTCTGGTGACCGGCCCAAAAACCATATCGCTCGGCTGGGATGGCGGCTTCGGCGCCTGGTCAAAATTCGACATGTCAGCTTGTCAGATATCACTCTGCGGGTAGATTGTTGGAAAAGCTCATAATCAGTTCATGTTCTGGGGCATGTCCGAACCAACCAACTAAAACCCCAAAGTTCCATCGTTAGTCTTGAAAGGCCATCGAGACATAGAGTCATCATGTACTCGGGCAAGCGTGAGCGGGATCACGGGCGGCCGACGCGTTTCTAATCACGGTTAGCTCATTTGTATTTGACACATTTCCCGCCCATTTCCATCCTTCAGCAGCAGCCTTATCTGCAGGGTCCAAGAACGACACCAAAGTTCCAAGACGCCTCATGCGAAGGACTTCTGCTCCCTAAGCCGCCTTGTAAGGTACAGGGGCAGGCACGAACAGGGGTGAGGAATAATTGACCAATCGCGCTCCACATCTGATGCATATAGATCCTCACCCGGGCTGGACCGACAATGGCCACGGAGATTTGGTCCGATGTGGCTGGAAATCATGGCTTGTCACTGGCTGAATCGGAAACGCGCAAGCGATGGGCCGGGGCCAAGAAGCGGGAATGTCAATCCCTCGAATCGCTCCGCTCCGCCCGACCCCATCGGCTTCAAGCGGGCAGCTCCGCAGCTTGCTTTGCACAGTGCCAGAGTTTTGTATGCAACGCATCTGTCAAGCTGGCGTTAACGCCAAGTCCGCTTTCCAGTTGGAGGATTGGGATTACATCCTTAAAACCACTCAGGCTCTCAAATGGCCGAGGCCATTTCAGCCGAAGTGAAGTCTTGAAAACTCCTCTGCACCAGTGCCCTTGGGTCAAGATCTTGTCTTCATTGATTAGAGTATACAAAATGGGTGTTTTCAGCGAGACCGCTGGGTTTCTCCAATCAGTTGAGTCGTCACTGATGTCTGATCTGGCCTATAACTATGACGCGAGAATAGTTACCGCAGTCTTACTACTCCTCATTTTCCCCTTGACATACACCTACACGTTTGCACAGAGCCAGTTCGCCAAGAGTTCCAAAAAAGATGTTGCGGAGCCTCCTCAGGTCCCCTACGTGGTGCCTTTCCTCGGCAACACATATGCGTTTGCGTCAGGCCCAGCGGCCTTCTTTACCGCGGTGCGGTCAGTATTCTTATCTGTCTATGGAGACAAAAAGGCTTGTTCGCATGAATCTAATGTCTCTGCAGGAAAGCGTTCGAAAATATTCCCGCTCGTGTACTCCTAGGAGGCCAGCGGATGTATCTTATTCCACATGGAGAACACATCCAGACCTTGTTCAAAAGCTCTCGTCATTTGAATGCCGAATACACAACAATAATTGCGTTCCGCGATGCCTTGGGCCTGCCTGACAAGGAGCTTCAGGAGTTGTACGCCGATCAATCGGGTATCGACACAACGCCAGCCCCGGGATATGAACACATGGAAGCAAAACACCGGATCTTCTTTCAAATTCACAAGCATGTTCACGCTCATTTCGCTGGCCGCTCTCTGGAAGCAATCACGTCAAAGTTCATTGAGAGCTTCAGCTCTAGAATGCTTGGTGAAAACGCCGAGACCAATCTGAGCGGCCAGTGGCTTGAGCAGCCAGACCTGCATGACTTGGTACGGACGGAAATCTTCCACGCGGCCACCGAAGCATTTTGCGGTGATCACATCTTCAGACTTTGTCCCAATTTGTGCAAAGAATTCTGGGAGTTCGACGAGGCCCTGCCCAGCTTGATCAGCGGCACGCCGAAGTTTCTCAATAGCAAGGCTCTTGCAGCACGCGCTGTGTTGCTCAAAAACATCAAGACGTGGCACAAATTTGCCAGAGAGAACTTTGACTGGAACGATACCGATGCGGTGTATGCCGAGTGGGAACCTATCTATGGCGCCCGCATCATGCGAGAGAGACAGAAGATGTTCAAGAACATCGAGACTAGTGAGGACGGCAGTGCATCATATGATCTCGGTCTCATTTGGGCGTAGGTCGCAACCCTTCCTGCATAATACTGCGTGTTTCTAACAATCTGATTTTAGGTCGAGTGGCAATGTCATTGCTGCTTCCTTCTGGTGTCTCTTCTTCATCCTGAAAAACCCTGCGTTGAAAAAAGCAATCATTGAGGAAACGACGCCGTGCTTCCGACAAGGGACGTTGATGTTTGATTCCGAGAGACTCTACTCTCGACCCCTTCTTCAATCAGTCTATCTGGAGACATTGCGTTTGTCCGTTGCGGCTCCCATCACACGCATCTCCAGAGTTCCGAAGTTCCAGTTGGGCAAGTGGGCAGTCAAGAAAGACGAAATGATGTTCGCCACGACATGGGTGGCCTCAAGGGACACAACCTTCTGGAACCGAGGAAAGGTAGACTACAGTACTGGGAAGGCGGAGCATGAGGTTGACGAATTCTGGGCCGAAAGATTCCTTGAGTTCGAGGATGACTTGGGATCTGGCCCGGTCCGAAGGCCTGACAGTACCACCACCGAAACTAAGCCACTGGATGCAACTCGCCTTTCCAAAGCTAAAGTTGTGGAATCGGGCATGCAGGGCTACTACTATCCCTTTGGAGGAGGCTCCAAGATGTGCCCCGGTCGTTTCTTTGCCAAAAGGCAGATTCTGGTCACCGTGGCTTTGATGCTTCGCGCATTCGACATTGAGTTACTAGACCCAATCACAGCCTCTAAGACTAAGCCTTGCATGCCCATGACACCGGTCGGTACTGTCAGGCCGAATGTCAAGACTGCTTTCAGGATTCGGAAGAGAGGGCTGGATTGAAAAGCGATTTACAATTTCAATCAAGATAATATTTCAAGTCGCCCCCTATAAGACCCCGATGGTTCCCCTGTGAAACGGAAGGTGACCAACCATGCAAGTCCAGCTGGAGACCTTGGTGAATGAGACGTCATGTTTCTGTAATTCTTGACTTATTCTAATGATTTATGAGTCTTCAAAAAGTTTGTTCTGACTTACTTATTGAATGGAAGTAGATTTATTAGCTGCACTTTGCTGTGTCATTTTGTAGTTCCTTTATGTGAGATTATCTACAACTGCTCTAAGTTTATGGAACCTGGACCAAATCACAAGTTAGATATTATTTGCGAACAGAATTCACGACCCAAAACTGAAGGCGACACTTATTTATTCTATTTCTGTGTTTCTTGTGTCGTCTGTCTTGTACAGCACCTCCCAGGTGTTGCCCTCTTAGACGGCGCAACATGACGATTGGCCTCATACCATGACATCTCGATGCGCTAGAAGATAGCTACTGCATTGGCTGGAGACCCCACGAGACCTGAAATGTTCAAAGGTACAGAACTAAGTAGGAAGCTATAACGTCCAGTCTTTTTACAGTGCTCCGATAGACCCTTTAGGTCCCAGAGTTCACCAATGGGCATTCCAAACATTGCCAGAAGCCATGGATGCAAGACTATGTGAATATTGCGTCAGTTTAATGAACTGAAGTAATACAACTGAACGCGAGGTATTGCTCACCAAGATCGTTTGGACCACCGGTTGATCCGTCTTCCTTGAGAGGGAGCAAAGCCTCAAAAGCCCAAGAGTCACCGGCCACGGCCGCAAAGTGCTTGTTCCAGAGCCATTTGGCCGAGTCCAAGTCACCATGCATACCTGATATCCGGCCGGATTGCAGCTTCGCCAAGTCTTGTGGTTGAGGGTTACCCAAAACCTCGGTCAGCCCCGTACGGATAATCAGGACGTCCCCGTGTCGGAAGTCGATGCCTTGGGCCTTAGCGACTTCCTCAATCTCTGCAACAGTGATACGGTGTCCATCAAGCGGATGGAAACCACCGTCAGTCTCGCCGTCCCGGTGCGCTTTGGCGTCATACCACTCCTTGAAGTCTATGAGGACGCCGCGGGCAACGAGCCCGCCAGCTGGGTGCCAGTGATCCAGAGTTGGCATGGTATTCTCAGCCGTGGCGGTCGGTGATGCAAGCGCCTCTTTTGTCACAGCGATGCCGTTGTACGCCAGTCCAGACGGTTGGTGCTGCCAGTGGACCAGGCTGTCCCACTGACTGCTGAGCTGCGTGTTGAAATGGATCTCATCATCCCAGCCAGTGCCATCGCACAGGCCCGACTCACGCAGGGTCATGTGAGTGTGTACGGGGCTCATACGACCCGGTAATGGTATTGCCATTCCATTCAACGGCCAGCTGTAGTAGGTTTCAGTGTAAGTGGCTTGCATGGACCCAGGTCGGCAAAAGACACTCACTTCAGAGAGATCGAAGTCCCATCTCTGGCTTCTGCGTATGCGCTCTTGACAATGGTTGGCGTGAGGAGGTTCAGAGTGCCGATGAGATCTTTTTTGCCGTCGCGGTCGAACACACCCCAAGCGCAGCCTTGGGGCATGCCCTCGATGTGAGGCAAGTCGTCGAAATCTGGCAGATGGGAAGCGTCCATGATGCTCGAAAAGTGGTATGAAGCTTGCAGATCAGAGAAGTAAGAACATGAAAGGCCTGGATGTCTTTGATACCAGACCCAGCAGAGTGACGGGCATGACGAGCTGATGCGCATTGATATTCATACACCCTCGATAGACCGTTGCCAAGCGCACAGTTCTTCACACCGTGAAGCTGTGGATCAATATCATAATCCTGGCGATGCAACAGCGGACCGAGCTCCCGCATTTAGACAGCTTCAGTGGAGCCGCAAGGATATGTCCCACAAGATTACGACTGTGCCTTACGTGGGATTCTCAAATACGATATGTCAGTTCTTCGGGCGTCTGAGTTGCGAAGCACAGCCGCATGTTTGGAAATTGAAGCTTTAGGCAACACTGCCGGCGAAGACTGGAAGCCGATGATGATATCGAATGGGCACGAACCTTTTGGGTCGAGATGGTATGTCTCTGTTATCAGTGACTCTTCAACCAGCATTCTTCTCGATTCATTTTGAGCGTCATCACGAACAGTCCAGTGAGCAATAATGGCGGCCGACCTACAATATCTCCAGCAAAAATACATAGCCGAAGCGCAAAAGCGCCTTAGGCCGAACGGCACAGATCAATTTCAAGATGCTCGACAGAGCGAATTCGCTCGCATCCGCGGTTTTGCCGATGACATATGGGCAGATCACGTCTCTCTTGACGCTCAGCTCTTCCAGTCACCCGCGCTGAAGGCTGGGGAGAGGACAAAGTTCCTCATCGCAGGTGCTGGTATCGGTGGCATAGTCAGTGCTGTCCGTCTTATACTCACCGGATTCGATGTTTCCCAAATCCGACTTGTTGAAACAGCGGGCGGTGTTGGCGGCACCTGGTATTGGAATCGGTACCCCGGCCTTCACTGCGATGTCGAGAGCTACGTGTACTTGCCACTCCTCGAGGAGATGGGATACATGCCCTCGCACAAGTACACTTCCGGGGTCGAGATTCGCAACTATCTGAACCAGATTGTCCAGAAGTTCAAACTACAAGACAAGGTTCTCTTCAGAACGAAGCTCGATCGCATTGAGTGGGATGACGAGAAGAGTTTTTGGAAGGCCGATCTTACCACAGCCCGGGGACCAGTAGACTGCAAGGAATCGAGCAAGCTTTCTGTGCAAGCTGAGTTTGTCATCTTCACTGCTGGGTATCTAAGTCGTCCGCAAGTGCCCAAATTTGCCGCCTTGGATACCTTTGCAGGGAGCATGTTCCACACTGCGAGGTGGGATTACTCTGTCACGGGCGGCTCAGATGAGGAGCCATTTTCATCGTTGGACAAGTTGAGAGGGAAACGTGTCGGTGTTATCGGGACGGGTGCAACGGCTATTCAGGTGGTGCCTTGTCTGGCCAAATATGCCGGGGAGATGTTCGTCTTCCAGCGCACTCCAAGCGCTGTTTACAGCCGTGGTCAAAAGGCAACGGATCCTCATGAATGGGAATCCGAGATCGCCAGCTCTCCCGGCTGGCACAAGAAGCGCATGGAAAACATGTCTGCCCACATGGCCAGAAGCGCTCATCCGGGCTCGCCTGACTTAGTCAACGACGAGTGGACGAAACAGAGTGCCTATGCCGGTGTTGTTGGCGACCCTGAGTGGGCTTACATCGGCCCTGAAAAGGTTCCAGAGCTCATTGCGCATTACTTGAAGCTCGATGCCGATAACAGAGCACGACTCCGAGACCGTGTCTCCGACATAGTAAAAGACAAGTCCACATCGGAGAAGCTCACGCCATGGTACCCGGTCTGGTGTAAGAGGCCGACTTTCAGCGACACCTACCTCCAGACGTTCAACATGTCCCACGTTCATCTCGTGGATACGGAGGGCCTTGGAGTTGAGAGAGCAACCCCAAGTGGCCTGGTAGTCCAAGGAGTTGAGTACAAAGTCGATGTTCTTGTGCTCGCAACGGGATATGTATCGCCGTCGACAGCTGTAGATCCGGCTGCCCGGGCCGGAGTTGAGGTCTACGGACGTATGGGGCGGCTGATGGCGGAGAAGTGGGAAACCCAAGGTCTGACTACTCTTCACGGGGTAACATCGAACGGGTTTCCCAACTTATTCTGGATTGGTGCATCGCAAGGTCCGTCCGCCGCAAATCTGGGTCATGTCATCGACGCTCAAAGCCGCCACATTGCCCACATCATCGCGAAAGCGCACGACAAAGCGGACACTGCAACTTCCACTCCCAGCACGTTCCGCACCTGCGTTGTCGAAGCTGACACTGATGTCGAAGACGCCTGGAGCCTGCGGGTCATGCAAGGTGCAACTCGTCTCGCAGTGACTTCCGTCTGCACGCCAGGATACTTGAATAACGAAGGTCAAGGGCTACGGATGACACTTGGCTTGGAGAAAGTGCCTAGTTCCGAAAGTATGGCGAAGGCGGCCCGGGCCGCTCCATGGAGCGCGGGAATGCCATCCTATCTACAAGAAATAGAGGCTTTCGAGACCGAAGATGAGCTGCGTGGATTCACAGTCGCAGCCAAATAAAAACGTTGCCGAGTCATAGGACTCTGCCGTTGTAGAGTAGGGTCAACACAAATCATTCCGAATGAAAGAGTGCCAGATACTATTTCATCTGTGGCCATCACAAGTATTGTTGGACGTTCTAAACATCGGCTTATGTCATGATTGCGGTCGGAAGTAAGAGCTCCTATTTCACGTGTTGATCACTATGTGAGTTTTACGACTTTGCGGGAACAGTTACATTTCGTGGGCCATTCTCACGCCTTTTCGTAAAGTGCCAACACTCTCAAAACATTATGTCAGACGCTAAAGCATGGCCTACTTAGAACCCATGTCACATTTTGACGCCATGTCAGCGTCAAGCATTTCAACTCGCGCCCTTGTGATCCGATCAAACCAATTAAAGAGAAGCTATAGCTGTCTATATCTTCTTACCTTGTTTCATGTTACCATTTCTACCAACAATCTGACTCAGAGCTAGGATGCAAAAGGATGGTTTGCTTGTCATTTGAACAGGGCATCAATACCCCGCGCCTTTCCAAGATTGCAGCATTCATATAACATCTCTACGGCAGGACACGCACATCGCATGATCAAAGAGGCTTTCTAAGGTTTCTATCAGCTGTCCTGGTCTCGTTAACTACCTGCGATAATGATTCTCATTATTGGCGCTGGCATGGCCGGCGTAACCCTCGCGCGCTACCTCCACTCCCACAACATCCCCTTCCGCATCTTCGACCAGCAAGCCCATTTCAAAAACCAAGGCTTTGGCCTTACGCTCCGCTCAGACACTACTGCAAAGCTACTCCCGCTTCTCGGCCTAGAGGAAGACGACTTTGCCACTCGCGTGGCTGTGGATCGCAAAACTGGCAAGACGAACACCTTCTTGGTCAACTTGACGACGGGCGAGAGATTCGCGGCTGCGAGCTTCAAAGAGGGAGCGAGCACGCGAGATTTTAGGACAAATAGAGAGAGGTTGAGAGGTGTCATTATGGGGGATGTGGCGGGGAGGGTGGAGTATGGATGCAAGCTGCGATCGTTCAGTTCTACAACTTCCGGGGTACGTGCCGAGTTCGAGAACAGGATGGTGGTTGAAGGTAGTGTCCTGGTCGCCGCTGATGGAGTGCACTCACTCATCCGCACACGCCTTCTTCCGCACTGCGTTCCGCAGGATTGGGATGGTGTCATGATCAACGGCATGTGTCGTTTCTCGCTCCCGGAGTGGGAGGCGAAGATCAGACCGCACATCCAGGATGCGGCGGTGTACCCCGGATTCGGGGATCAGAAGATTCTCGCCCTCACCATATATGACGCCAACTGGGACCCTGCGATCGGTTACGTCGATGTGTCTTGGGGTTTATCCAGAAGGAGAAAGGAAGGTCATGATCCGCTATTCGTGAGGTACGGGGACCGGTCGTTCGACAAGGTAAGTGCGCCAGAAGCGTTCTGGGACGAAATCGAAGCGTTACCGCCGAAGGATCTTGTGGAACCGTTTAGGACTGTCTACGAAGACGTGCGAGCGCGAGGTGACAGGACGATTCACCATCAGCTTGTCAGCATGCTGATTCCGAAAGATAATCTGCTCGCCAAGCTTCAGACGGACAAAGTTGTTTTCATTGGCGATGCGGTACATGATTGGTCCAATCATGCTGGCACAGCAGCAAATGCGGCGATGCAGGATGCGCTAGCGTTAGGAGAGGTGCTGAAGGGGAAGAGAAGACTAGAGGAGTTCTATGAGGAAAGATATCCGAGCTGGTTGGGGAGTTACGAAAAGAATGGAGAGGATTTCCAGACGTTGCATCGGCCGATGAGTGAATGGAGGGCACTGCTAGATGCGCAGAAGGCTGGTCGCGATGACGAGGAGTTGAAGAAGGCTGCTGCTCCAGCTGCACAGCTATAGAGCCGGGCAGGTCATGCTTTTTCCCATTATATGGGCTTCTGTATCATGCGTTGGCTTAGAAAGCTCGGGCAGGCAGTCGACGGCGTCGTATTTGAGTACGGTGAAGATGGTCAAGACGCGGTGCAACTATTAAAAATGATGCGACCACAACCTCATGATGCGACGTGCCAAAACCGAGATTGAAGCAATACGAAAACCCTTTTCCCATTCCATGAAACTTTTGGGAGCAAGATGCGATTATAATGCAGCTACTGTTTTCTCGTGACGAAAGGATCCTCGAAGTTGAAGCCAATGTGTAAGCAGATCTGCAGCTTGTGTTGGAAAAGGGTATTCCTGTCCCAGTATCTTGCGAATCTCCGTTGATATACCTCCTATATCCCCAAAATGCCCAAAATGAGATAGGCTATGATGAAGTTGAAAAACAGGATATGCTGGTAGGAAAGGTAGTCAGCATGGACTCCAATCATCATACAGAGAGAGATATGCACCGACCAAATGTGGTTGTAGATGTTAGTAACAAGGTGTTTCATCTTTGATGCAAAAGGTACAGCCTATGTTCAAGAAACTGTCTTGACGCGCTTGGGCTTTCTCGATGATGGGTTGCCTTCCGACCTGTATCACGCTTCGCGTCAGCGGAACATCTTTGGCAAAGGATAGAGATGGAACTTACTCAGATTCAGAAACGTCGCGCTTTCTCTTGAAAGACTTGAACCCGCCGTCCATCTTCTGGGCGCCCTGCGGCTTGAACGACGACGCCTTTCTCTTCTTCCTGAAGATCATGCTCCTCGGCTTGTAGGGAATTGGAGTGGCTTTCTTCTTAGGGCCTGTCTGCTGAGATTCGACGCCGTTCCCCTTGGGAGTGGAAGATTTCTTTTCGACAGGTGACGCTTGCTCCGTCTGATGACGCTCACCCGAGGTTACTACCTCGTGCGCATCGTTGCCCGCCCCTCCCTCATCACCCTCATCTCCGGACTCGATGATGATGACGGGACTCTCCTGCCTTTGTGGTCGAGGAGGTCGAGCATGCTCTCCAAGATGGACATTGCCCTCCAGGTCCCAAACCCGCATATTGTTGAAGAAGAACTCGCGGTACTCCTCAGGGACGACGTCAGGCTTGTTAGCAAACTCAATTGCAATGTTCCTTCCAATCGAGTGCGGTCCTTCCTTGGCCCACAGGTTCAGCTCCGCGGACGAGACTTCCATCTGCAGGATGAGGAGTCTGTAGATGCGCAGCAGGTCGATCTTCTCAACGTCGAAGGTGAGCTTGTCGAAGCAAAAGTCCTTGAGGGTCTGCTGGTCGGTGGGCAGGCGCGCGGCGCGGGCGTTGTGGTAGAGGTTCTCGGCCGTGTTCTTGCAGGCGCGGAGGCGGGCTTGGAGTCTGACTTTGGGGTTTGCGGAGACGAGACCGATGTCGAAGGTAGGAGATCTTGATTTGGGTTTGCGCTTTTGCGCGTTTGAGGGAGGCATCTTGGCGGTGAGATCTGAGTTCTGTTGCGAATGTGTTAGATGGCAGAGAGATTTCGGGTATATTGGGAGGAGGAAGACCAGACCTGTGGAGTGAAGCCAAGAAACTGTGAAGATGAGAAAATGAGTTGTGATTTTGTAAGAAGAGCAGCAAATATCCGTGGTAATGTGAAGCGTGCGGAGAATGGATATTTCGAGGCAGCCGCACAGTGAAATGCCTCCTTCCCTCCTGGATGGTGAGATGTGGAACGGCAAAAAGTCAAAAAAACCAAAGAGGAAGTTTCATCACAGATCTTTTCACCAGAGATTTTCTTGGATAGCGCGCCTGGCAAGCTACAGTGTGTGATGCAATTCTATTGAGTGGCCTTGCTGTATTAAGGGCATTGGCATGCCACTTCTACTCTATCAAGTAGCTCTTTTCCCTCTAGGAAACCACGAGTGAGCCACCCAAATGTCAAGAAAGCCATCTGATCTCCATATCCCCGAATTCCATCTGTGAGAGGTCCCACGCCCTGTGAAAAGATATCAGTAAAGCGCAGCCATGTAGAACTGAAAAGTAAAGCTTACTAGCGATCTTCCCACAGATGCATGCATTCTTTGCGAGCAACGGCCATTTTGAGGATGCCTTGGACCACCTTGTTCATCGGCGTTCCGTCATTCTCCTTGGTTGCATTCTCTTGAAACCACCGGAGTTCCTGCACACCCAGATAGTGTTGGCGGAGATCAAGTTGCATGCCCATTCGCTGGAAAAGTTTGTTGTCCTTCATCCAGATGTCCAGTTCGCGAGTGCTGAATCATCGTAGACGAGGGCATGCTTGTACGCAGTGACAAGCATCCTCTTGCCATGATCATTGAAATCATTGAAGCGATAGTCGAACAGGGTCTTCTGGTCGGTGGGAATCTGATTGATGATGATGCTCTTGAAGAGAATGTCGGCGATGGTTTGGGGCAAGTCCACACAGAGCTTGGAATGCGTAGCATTTACGCCGTCAATGGTGGCGCTGTACTGACATGCGGTGCTGCAGATCAAGTCTTTGGAGCACATGGTGCACCTGCGGGTGGTGTTTCTCTGGCCGCAGACGATGCACTTGTTCTTGGGCTTCGCATCCGGGAGAGGGTCATTGCCGGAATTGCCGTTGTCGTTCGCCATTGTGTTGTTGTTTGTATTGTTAGTTGTAGGTTTGCATTGTGACTTGAAAGGGTTCCTTCCTTTCAGTGAAAGGTGGAAAGGCATAATTGTGAACGGGAGGAAATCTGAGATGAAGAGTTTTGTGAGAGGGCTTTTCAAGGCGCAGACTTCTGCGTTTAGCGAGGTCAATTCAGTGGGTGGTGCCTCAGGAGAAAGCTCAAGGTGAATTTTCAGGTAAAGGTGAAGGTGAAGCTGCTTGGTGATACTGAGCTACCTAGGAAGGAACCATGGGTTGATCTTTGCGTCTGGGCTGTGGTAGGGCAGATGACATCCAATAAAAGAAGGGTCCCAAGTTGGCTAGGTATTTCAATCGAGGGACAAAGGCTTCCAGTCACATCCAAAGAATGGGTCCTTTTGTAATGAAATTACTGTCACTGCGATTTCTGTCTACCCAAGCAATATTACCAATGCGATGTTCACACTGGAGGCAGCTCAGAGCCTCAAACGGCCTGCAATCCTAAAGCCCTTCTAGAGGAGCCACCTCTCCTGTTCCACCCCTTATTACTCATGCCTCCCTCTATCAAAGGCTATAGCTTTCCGCCTCAAAGTGCCAATCAAACAATGCTGAAAGGGCAAAGCTGCTGAAACACGGCTAGAAATATCCATTAGTAAAGGATTTAACTTGAACGGCAGTTTTGACCACCTTCATGCTGCCTAGGTCTTAGGATCAGCAGCCGGTCTGTCGAAGACGACCCTGTTCTCCGCGAACCAGTCGCGGATTTCAGGACTGAAATCCTGTGGTCTAGCGTGCATCTTGGCGCTGATGGACTCGTACAGCGTGTCCTCCTGCATCCAGACATTGAGCTGCTGGGAGGTCACGTCCAGGCTTTTGACGAGGTCATGGTAGAGGGTGAAGAGCCTGACTCGGTCTGAGGGCTCGGGGCAGCGACTGAAGCCGTAGTCCTCTCTGGCTTGAGGGTGAGTAAGCATCCTGCCGCGGGTCACGTCCTCGACGATGATGTCGGCGGTTGTCTCGTTGCGGTTGTCGCAGAGGCGAACGTGCGCGATCATCTCCTCGTGAGGCTTGTCGGCAAGGCCAAGGCGCATGTACTTCTCGCAGGACCTGCAGCAGACCCAGTCATGGCCGCATTTACTACACTTGCGAGAGGTAGGGAGCCTCTTGCAGACAATGCAGATGCCCCAGGTGCCCAAGGGGTCCGGCGACTTGTAGGGTTCGGCCTCGCAGTCAGGCATCGTCCAAGCCTCGCACGTGCCTGCGCTCCGGATGGCGTCGATCAATCTGAAGAAGTAGTGGGCACCAGGAGGGTGGAATATGAGGGGGTACTCGCCCTCGGGAAGAGACTCGCGGTTGGGAGGAGACTCGTTGTCGGGAGGAGAGGCCGACATTGCTGGATGTAAATCGTGTTTGGTTTCCCGGGTTTGGTGGGAGAGCAAACTGTTGAATGATTTCTTGCGTTATACAGCAGAACTTGGACCCCTGATAGACGGAATTTCAAACGGAGCGAGAACCTGGAAGTCAGTCGAAGATGGAAATCCAGACTGACAATGATGAGGTGAAGTCGAAAAGGTGGGGCTGAAGCGGTTCAGTACCTAGACCACGTGAAGCCGTGGAAGCAGGAAGGAACGCACCCGCAGGAAGGAAGGTACGAATAGGAAGGAGTACGGGTAGGCCAAGTGGAAAGCGCCTTCTCTTAGTAGCACTTGCACTGTCTCGAGCAACCAGAAGTTGATCACGGAATATGCAGAGGTCTCTGAAAAGCAGAGACATCACGATATACCACTGACACTTAGGTTGATGCTCAAAACATCAGCGCTTTAGATTAACTGCGAGCTTCAGCTGAACTCGGTCTATTATGAAGCTAGGAAAGGCGGATCATTCATTCCGCAAATATCCGCAAACTATGCATTTTGTCCGCACCCTTCCTTGTATTGGTCCGTCCATGGCCCAATCCATTCTTCTTGATGTTCCAAAACTCCCTAATCTGTCTCTGGGAAACCCAAGCCACTTCGCAAGGCCGGAATGTCAACTTCAAAGCGCAACGACTGTAACTGAGAATGCAAAATCTATCTCGTTAGTAAATAATGTCAAGTTTTGGGAATCGAATAGGGTCGCTCACTAAGAGACCTTGCTTGGTCCGATGGCTGTTCTCGTTGGCCAACGCTGACTTCTGCTTCCTGATAGATGGCACTCTTCTCTACCAGACGCGTCATGATGTATTTTGTTTCTCTGAGAGAAAGTGACATCAGTCACAAGGGTCGCATCATCCCCAATTCGCGTTCAAGCCTCTCTTGCTTGAAAATGATGTCCTGGAAAACCGCCTGGGTGGTCTTGCTGAGTCCACGAGTCCATATATCAGTTCCCTTGAGCCATCTGACATCATTGAGACTCATCAGCTTTGGAGAGGTGTAAACAAGCATAGCAATGCGCTCAAATAGCTTCTTCTCCTCCACCCAGATGCCCATCTCACGGGGTGTGACGTCCGCCTTGCGAATAATTGTCGCGTAGATTTCGAGAAGCTTCCTCTGGTCGGCAATGTTACGCAACCACATGAACTGGAAGTCCATGATGGTTTGCTCATCTCTCGGAATCCTGTTGCACAAAACGTCCTTGTAGAAATTGTCGGCGCTTGTGTCGGCAACGCACATGTCGAAGTGATAGGAGTTAACGTCGTCGATAACTGCAATTTGCTGGCAGTTCATGCTGCATATCAGGACGTCGTTGCAGATAGCGCACTTTCTCATGGTAGCTTCGTCGCAAATGATGCACTCATCATCATCGACTTCGACTTCGTCTTCACTGTCCACCACACAGTCGCCCATTTCAGACATCCTGATGTTCCGTACTTGTGTAAGATAGGTGAGGATAGAGTATTTGGCTTCAGGGGCACTGCCTTGGTTGAAAGTGAAAGTCGAGAGTGGAGGATGGTGTGGTGTAGAGAAAAGGAAGGAGAATGGCTTTGGGGAGAAGTTCGATATTTATAGACGGAAAGTGGGGAGTGGAAGAGGATTGAAGAGGCAAGAAAGCTGAGGTTTGCGGTTGCTTCTTGCCTTTGAGTATTCTCATCTCAAATGGCAAGCAAGATCCGCAGTCGACAGTTATCTTAGGGGAAGGAATGACACACCTGGTCGCAGTTACCAGATTCTTTCAAAGTCTGTTCCAGCCAGGCAGAATTAAGGATATTCTTGAATCGCCAGCCGCAGGTGCGGGACTTTACCCAAATAAACTACGTGTGTTCGCCATTTTGATTGCAGTTGACTTTTACTATGCCTTATCTGGCTCATTCTATCTGCCGTGCTGATTCTCCATAATATTCACATACCAGGCGTCCCACCCTTGATGCCGTCTCAACGGTTCTTGGTCCACTCTTCCGCCTCCATCTCGCTTTCCAACTTCTGCCGGGCAGTCACAAACTCGATCGTAGCCCTTGCCTTCGAACTAAGCTCACTCTCCCACAGCGGCGTCTGCTTGAGCCACTTCAGGTCCCAATAGCCATGCGTCTTCGGGTACGACTGGCACAGCACCGCAATGCGCTCATAGAGCTTTCCCTCCTCCCTCCAAAGATGCAACTCGCGGGCGCTGACGTCCATCTGATAGATGGCATGCCAATAGAATCGCAGCAGGCACTCCCTGTTTGTGGGGCCACGAATGTCGAAGATGTCGAAGCGGTAGTCCTCGATCACGCGCTGGTACATCTCCGGGAAGTTCTCCGCGCAGTACGGAAGCCTTTCCGCGGCGGCAAAGATGTAGAGGAGGCTGGCGGTCGTCTTGGGATTGAGGACGCACTCATTGAAGTGGTCGGCGCATGAGGCCAACGGGCCGGCGAAATGCCCACCGACGAGCACGAAGTTCTTCTGGCATCGCAGGCTGCAGATCCAGAAGTCGTTGCAGAGGGCACACTTTCTCGAGGTGCGCTTCTTCTGGCAGACGGTGCAAAGGCCCTTGACCTGTTCCTGCTCTGCGGCCTTCTTGTTGGCAGCGGCGGCGTTGTCGGGACTGGACTTCTGCGAACGGCCTTCGGTATGGGAGCTGCGGTCATCTGAGTTGTCGATGGCCGTATCCTTCAACCGCTGTCGGCCGCTCCAGCGATTAAAATCCTGTTCGATTCTGGCGGCCCAATCAGCGTGCTCACGGCGGTCTTTCTCTTCAGAACCAAGGGTGTCTTCGTCCTTGGTTTCGTTGGCAGGACTGGTGTTCAGCGCAAGACCCTCAAGATCAGAGCTACAGTCGTCCGGCTTGTTGATTTCTGTCTGCCCCAACCGCCTCTTGGCGATCGTCATATTCATGTCCCTTTGGAGACACTCGGCGATTTCTTGGACGACGCTGTTCTCTTCAAGGTCCGTGAGATCATCATCTGACGAGTAAGAGTCAATGGAATCAGAAACGTAGTATTCTTCTCGTGCATAGCCGTTCCAACAGCTTTTGATTTCGGGCATCTTGAGGCTGGTTGATGTGCTTGGCAGAACAGCGAGCGGTGTTTGAAAAGGAGGAGGGGAGGGTCTGACAGGAGATCAGTCGTGTAGGGAAAGAAAGGCGAGGGGAAGGTGAGGAAAATGGTTCAGTATTTATGTTAGTAGTCAGTCGCAGTGATGTGGGAAGGGTTCAGAGAGGTGATTTACTCTAAGCTGATCATATTCACCGCGGGGAGAGCATCAGTTGGGCGGTTGAGTCACTTCAGAAGGTATGGGATGATAGCAAGGAACGACAGAGATGCATGATGTAGGTATCATCAGAGAGCTATGCTAGCGAGTTCTCTGTTCCATGACCGATTCACTGATACCCTATGCCCACCGCATACTCATGCAAGACCACGAAAACCATGACCAAGTAGACCCAGCACGAGCTTCACTACTTCCCCGAAAAAAGCCCACACAGTGATCCAGTAACCTAAAGGTCTCCGGCGTGAGCCTCAAGTCCAACTACACATCCCAACAAGAGAAACCGAATCTACTTCTCCTGCTCCATCGCAGCCTTCTTGCGCGCAACCATCCCCGCAACCTGCTGCGTCTTGATCTCCTCCGCGAACCCCTTCAGGTCCATGCCCGGGCAGAACATGACGGGCAGGAAGGTGCGCCCGCCCGGTCCCTTCATGCGATGGACGCTGGTCTCGGCGCTGTCGTCCGCGGCGACGCCCACCTCGCCGCGCCGCTCGCGCGCCTCCTTGCCCATCGCGACCTTGGCCATGCCCTCCGCCATCAGCTTGACCTGCTCGAGCATGTCGGCCTTGGTGTTCATCGGCTTCGCCGCCGCAGCGTCCATATAGGCGCGCGTCTCCGAGTGCGCATAGGAGGCGTCCCAGATGTAGCGGTTGCGGGTGAGCCTGTGTGTTGTCAGTGTCAGTCAGTGTGATCACAGAAGGTAGCGATGGGGGCAAGGGTACGGTACCAGCGGAAAGTATCCTTGAGACGATTCATCTCCTCGGGGGCAGTCGCACCTGCCTCCAGCGCTGCGCGGAGCTTGGCCTGCACATTCTTGAGCAGGACCTCCTTCGACTCTCCAACCCAGGCATGGACGTCGGCCGACGGGACGTTGAGGGTGGTGACCATGAGGTGGCGGTACACGTCGAGCAGCTGGAACTGGTCCGCCTGGGTGACGGTGCGGTCGAAGCCGAAGTCCGCGACGGTCTGCGGGTGGACCGGAACGATGCCGGCGACGACGTAGGCCTTGAGGATGTCGGCGGTGCGCATGGCGGCGAAGTCGATGGACTGGAGCACCGGGCAGGTTGCGACGACGTCGACGGACGGCTCGGGCTTCTGGCCGCCGGCTTCGGTCATCAGCTTTTCGCCCAGGGAGCAGAGGTGCTCGACGCCGGCGTCATGCTCGGCTTGCCACTCGGCGGCGGCCTCGGCGTAGAGGGCCTCGTCGGACTTGGTGATGGGAGACATGGTTGGTTGAGGGGGGTGTCTGAAGTGTGTTAGTTTGAGATGGGTTGCGGTGGAGGGGGGCTTACTGGTTTGAAGAGGTTTTGGGTGGAAGTAAGAATGTGAGTGGTACTGCTGTGAGTGATGGAGGAAACAGATTCGGAAGGGTTTCGAAGAGAGGGAGAAGTAGAGGAAGAGGGGTTGATGGAGGTGTAGTGGAAAAGTAGACAGGGCCGTGGACGCGTCTGTGCCGGTGGTGGTGGGGTGAGGGCCCAGGTGAGTGCGGCATCTTGCAGCCTCGAGCAATCTAGTCGATGCGCGTTTGCAAACAGCCAGCATCGAGGCGGTCAGGGGAGAGGAGTACCTTACCTCCGTGGAAGCCTGACAGCCGCGATTGCCCCTGGTCCTGGATCCCAGGTTGTGAGATCTCGATGTTTGCCTGGATCAGAAAGCCATGGTACAGGTTGGCAGAAGCGGGCAGCAAAAGCTCTTTCACTTGTTGCGGGCATGCCTTTGTCACAGGGAAAGATAGTTCTACCGGTGTCATGTCGTTGGTATTTCGTCGTAAGTCCCTTGTTTTCGGGTCATCATGAGACAGGAAGCCCTTCATGGGGCCATGATGACCCAGCTATGTACCATCTCCAGCTACGGGAACCTCCATTCCAGCCAGCTTGATGTTCCGAACTCCAAAACGTCCGTAGAATGCCTTCAAATCCCATCGCATTCTCGAAACTTGACAGCAGATGCTTCCCTTGCGTACTCCTCAGTGAGAGACAATAGCAGCAAGAACACCAGCCGCAAACGAGACTCCAACAATAGCCGAGCCAAGCGCAACCCAGCGTCCAGCCTCTTTCATCTACTCCAACACACGTAAGCCAACGTTCTCCCCCATCTTCACACCAAGGGCTCACTGACCTTCTCCTTCTGCTGCTCCTCCGCCTCCCGCTTCTTCTTCTCTTCCTGCGCCTCAAGGTACTCCTTCTCCGCCGAAGCAATCGCCTCCGCGTACGTCTGGCCAGTGCGCACAATGCTCATCCCGCCCTCCTTATCCGCGCGCATCGTCTTGACCTCGTCGGGCGGTCCCTGGTCGCTGTAGGAGTAGAACATGATGATCTTGTTGTCGACGTGCGGGCGCGTCAGCATGTACGCGATGTACTCGCCCTTCTCAGCCCGCGCGTCCATGTCCTCGCCCATGAGCTTGTCCCAGCCCGCCACCTCCTTGGACACCTCCGCGAGCTGCGAGCCCGCGGGCGCGGCCATGAAGGCCGCATCGACAGCCGCCTTGTCGCCGTCGCTGTTGAGGTCGTCGAAGATGTGCTTGTGCGCGCCGAACCAGGCCAGCGCGGCGGCGAGGTCGGGCTGCGTGGCGGGGGCGCCGGCGTGCTTCTTGTGGAGGCTGTTAAGGCGGCCGAGCATGGTGTCCTTCTCGATCCACTTCTGGATGTCGGCGGGGTCGAGGGACAGGGTGTTGACGAGGGCGCGGTAGAGGGCGAGCAGGGCAAACTTGTCCTTGACCTGGTAGGCGCGGTCGAAGCGGAAGGCCTGGGCCGTGGTGGGGTCGAGAGGTGGCATGTCGCTGTCGATGGAGGCGCGGAGGGCCTCGGCAGGGGTGACGGGAGAGGCAGGCTGTTTGTGGCCACGCTCCTTGGCGATGCGCTTCAGCTCCTCGTCGGCGACCTCCTGGACCTTGTTGCGGATGTCGGCGACGCACTCGTCGGCGTCGAAGTTGACCTTGACCATCTTGTCGGAACGGCAATCGCTGTCTGGTCACATGTGTTAGATGGGTATATGAGACGGTAGGGATTAGTTACCGGATTGCGACTGGAGAGTTTGCTTTTCTGAGAGATGACCTGTCGTGTGGATGGTGTTGGTAGGTGGAAGATTGGGAATACGGACGACCGTCTGCGAGAAAGGCAGGAGGGGAAGGAGCCTAGCTGCCGAATTTCCCCTTTGACGGGGCTTCACATGGCAAAGATGTTGTCAGCCTGTAGGAAACTCAGTCGATCAGGTTGAGGTAGACAAACGGGGAGCTGCCGAGCGGCCATGCACAAGGATGCATTGTTTGTTGGGGCGGAGATGTAGACCAGCATGCCCGATTGAGAAAGAGTGCAAACGGAAATGTGGCACAAGGGGTAGAGGGGCGCGGATGCTTCTCGCTCTAGGGGGAATGAAAAGGGACCAATACAAGCAGTCATGTGATGTAATTTCTTGTCAATTGCTCGTGTTTGCGGTGTAGCTGTTCTCCTGAATTTCTTCCGGGTGACATCGTCAAGCCATGCTGCTTGCCATACCAAGTCACGGGTAGCCTCTTGTCTCTCTCACTAGTCTAAGGTACCCTCATTGAAGTCCTTGGAATGGGACAGCGTCCAGGGCTCTGACCTGACTCAGTAGCTTCTTGAATCTCTGCTCCAGATCAGGCGTGGACCAGAGGGAGCGAATCTCGCCCTCGGCGTCCTCGTGGTCCCAGATCCACTGATTATCGTTGGCGAACGCGACGAGACTGGCGGGGACCTTGCTGTTGCTGGCCAAGGCTCCCTTCACCTGGAGACCCAAGCTCTTCTGGCCCTTCTTCATCCACCCGTGCACAGTCATCTCGGAGATGCCACAGGTCTTGGTAAGCTGACCGTAAGCTTTGAGCAGCTTGAGGCGCTGAAATGCAAAGTGGCAGCGGCGGAAGCCGTAGTCGGTCAGCGTTTGCGGGTCGGTGGGGTCCCGATTGGCGGCAACATCCTTGAAGAGGATCTCCGTAGTGGTGCCGGCCAGGGACACCGGCTTGTCGCTTCCACATCCGTCGCTCTTGCCGTCAGCGTTGGAGGAGGTGTTGCCGTAAACCAAGTCTGCAATCTCCTTCACCTGGGCGGCGACGTTCAGCTGGCCAGTCTCAATCGCTCGCTTGACGTTTGGATTGTTGAGAATGGTCTGGGTCATCATCTCCTCGTAACGCTTTCGGTCTGGGCATCGGCTCTTCATGTAAGCGTCGATCTCGGAAAACGACATGGACTTTGGCGTCTGGGTGCTGGTAGCAGTCGTTGCGCCAGTGGGGTCAAAGCCGAAGACGCGTTGGTTGAGGACAAGCCACGAGTAGCAGTGCCCGGCGGTCCTGGTGTTCTTGCTTCGCAGCTCACGCTTGAGATTGCCGATGAAGTTCGGGATGGTGTCGGAGCGCCACTGGTGGAGGGTCTGAGGAGTGACGCCGCTGGACTTGAATAAGATGTCGTACATGTTGTAGAGAGGGATGACATCGGTAAGCGAGCGGCAACGGGCGAAGCCGTAGACGTCGAGGGTCTCTTGGTCCTTGGGAAGCTCATCTCTAGCATTGGCAGCGAAAAGGAGCTCTGCGGGGGTGGGCTGGGTCGTCATGATGATTGATCTGAGATGGTTAGTTGCCAGTTCATTGAAGTTAATGGAAATAGCCTACTTTGGGTCGTGGTGGTGTTGTGGGAGGGAGGATTGTGGTAAAAAGTCTCGAGTTATGGAGGGGAGAAGAGGTTTTGGCTTTCCTAGAAACGTTCAGAAGTCGGAGGTGAGTTCGGCCCCCTCCCTTCATGAACGGCATAACAGGCAAGAGGCATCCAGCAACCTGGGTTGCGTGCCTGCCAAAGCAAGGTAAAACAGCTTGCTTATGTCATGGATGTTCCAAAGGGTCGCTTGCCTTCCTATCTTTCTCGCTTTCCCATTGCTTCCCTTATCCATCAGTACATTGTACTGCCGTCACCATCTTTCATGGCATAAGTCCTTGTTTCCTGTCGTTCCCGTCTTCAATTCTCATCGCCGTCGATAATCTCAATCCCGTATCTTTACCCCGGCTTCTTTCCCATACTTTCTGCCGTCCTCATTCTCGTGTCCCATCTTCATCATTCGTTTCCAACATCTATTTACATCAATGTTCTTCGTCTCCGCATCTCCTATATTCTTCTCCCGCACTTTTTGTCCCTTGTCTCTGCTCTCACTTTTGCCCTTTTATACCTGATTTTCCTAGGTATGTGTGATAAACAGGTAAGCATTCCTAGGGTAAGAATTAAAACTGAACCTTCTAATTCAGTCTTTGATTTTTCTTTCTCTTTGAGCTGCCCATTGATGCATATAGATGTACAGCGTAAGCGGGTTTATTTGCCTACTCCCGACTGTTGCTTTTTTGATAGCTACTACTCTGTTATCGTCAACAAAGGCTCTGCATCACAAATAGTTCATGCCTTCAGAAAGCTGTCAACCTGCTCAAAAGCAAGCTAAACTCATCCAAAGCTTTGGAAATCTCTTTAAAAATATCATACTTCAACCGACGACATCCGACACGCTTTGGCGAGGAATGTCACGATGCGCGTCTCTTACAAACGGGTCATCGAAAGTGGGTCCGGTCCGCAATCGTCATTGGCCAGCGCCCAGACCTTCACCCCCAGCCACCGTCATGGCGCCATCCCTGTTCCGTGAGTCAAAGGACCTACCACCTACCTTCGTCCCCCCTTCAAACATCGCCCGGGACCTCATCCAATTGGCAAACCCCGTCACACAAACACTCCCAACAGCGAGCAAGGAAGATGCCGCCGAACGACACCACCCAGGCTGAAGACGCCGCCCAGCAACGGCCGCTCTTGGCCGACCCCCATGAGGAGTACGGCGCCACCGAGGGCGGCCCGGACCGCGCCGTATTGCCCCCCGAAGTCGTCGCCGACGAGCGCGGCGCCGGCACCTTCACTCGCAACCTCGGCGCCGTCGAGGCCTTCGCCATCGTCATCAGCATCGTCATCGGCAGCGGCGTCTTCACCTCCCCGGGCTCCATCGACACCAACGTCCCCTCCCCCGGCGCCGCCCTCGTCGTCTGGCTCGTCGGCGGCGTCCTCGCCTGGACCGGTGCCGCCTCCATGGCCGAGCTGGGCACCGCCATCCCCGGCGAGGGCGGCGTCCAGCCCTTCCTGCGCTACATCTACGGCGACGTCTTCGGCTTCCTGGCCGCCTGGACCTGGATCGTCGCCGTCATGCCCGCCACCCTCGCCATTTTGTCCATCGTCTTCGTCGAGAGCATCTACTCCGCCGGCGGCGTGACTGACCAGGCCGGCGCCCTCTCCCACAAGCTGTTTTCCATTCTCATCCTCATCGTCATGAACGGCGCCAACTCCATCAGCACAAAGGCCAGCACCCGCCTCAACAATTTGTTCGTGGTGACCAAGTTCGTCAGCATCGCCGCCGTCGTCGTCGCCGGCCTCGTCGTGGTCATCATCCAGGCGGCCGACCACGACCGGGATATTGGCGGCCGCGACTGGTTCACCAAGCCCTGGTTCGAGAGCCGCAAGACGGTCCTCCCCGGCGGCGAGGAGATTGACTGGACCAAGATTGGCGCGTGGGACATGCTCGGATTCTACTCGGCTGCTCTGTACGGCGCCTTGTGGGCGTACTCTGGCTGGGACAAGGTGAGTCCTCCCTTCGTCTCATGACACCACGTATCTAACATCTAAAGGCCATCTACGTCACGGCTGAGCTGCAACAGCCCGCCCGCCAGCTTCCTCTCGCCATCAACTCCGCCGTCCCGACAATCATCCTGTGCTTCCTCGCCGCCAACGCAGCCTACTACATCCTGCTGCCCTGGTCCGTCGTCTCCACTACAGACAGCGTCGCCGTGGTAAGTTCCGTCTGACCTCCCGCTAATCACCCTCTTGCTTATCACCCCAGACCGCAATCAACCGCCTCCTCGGCCCCGCTTTTGGCATCCTCGCCGCCGTCCTCATCTGCCTCGTCGTGGCCGGCTCCCTCCTCGGCAACTCCTTCGTCGCAGGCCGCATGACCGTCGCCGCCGCCAACTTTAACTGGCTGCCCAAATTCCTCGGCGCCGTCGGCCGCCTCGGCGTCACCTCCGACGCCCTCTCTTCCGAAGAGTCTTCCTCGGATGGCGCCCCGGCCAAGGAAAAGTCCGACGCGCCCCTCAACGCGCTGCTGCTCTCGACCGTCCTCTCGGCGCTTTACATCCTCTTCGGCAACTTCCGCGCCCTGCTCACGTTCAACGGTCTGGGGGAGTACACCTTCTTCTTCCTGACCGTGCTCGGGGCCGTCGTGCTGCGCGTGCGCGAGCCCAAAATGCGCAGGCCGTACAAGCCGTTTGTCCTCATCCCCGTTGTGTTTGCGCTTGTGAGCGGGTTTGTTGTTGTGCGGGGCGCCATCTTCGCACCGGTGCAGGCGGTCATTTTGATTGTCCTGTGGTTGGTGGGGTTGGGCTTCTACTGGGCTAGACGGAAGTACGCTGCTAGAAGCGCGAGGACTGAGTAGACAGACTGAGTAGAGATACTATCCAGTTCTGTATGAAGAGATGGATTGGATACAGATTCACATTCTCCAAATTACCCAATCTAGAAAGACAGATGCGTCGATAGACTAGACCCAATACACACCCCTTACAACTCCTCGCTCTTCTCGTCCAACTTCGTCGGATCATCCAGATCCTTAAACAACTTCACGCCCCAGTTCCTTCCGGGGTTGTTCAGCCGGTGCTTCTTATCCTGCTTGCCAATCTCCTCCAGCTCCTCCTTGCTAAACTCCACCTCCAGCGCCTTCCTATTGCTCACAATGTGCGAGTCCTTCGTGCTCTTCGGAATCACAATCGTGCCGCGCTGCACGCCCCACGCCAGCACCGCCTGGAACACACTGACCCCCTTCTTCTCCGCCACACCCTTCCAAAACTCGTCGTCAAAGATGGCCGGGATGTCGTCGCGGTATGTCGGGTTCGTGTTCGCCAGCGGCGAGTACGCAATCACCTCGATCCCCTTCTCCTTATGCCAGTCCACGAACTCCTGCTGCTGCAGGTACGGGTGCGTCTCAAACTCGTGCGCGTACGGCTTGATCTCCGCCACCTCGAGGATCTTCTCGACATCCGCCTTCGCAAAGTTGGACAGCCCGATGTGGCGCGTCAGGTTCGCCTTGACAAAGCCCTCGAGCGTCTTCCACGTGTCGACGATGGACGTGTCGCGGTCCAGCTTTGTCGTGCCCGGGACGAAGGCCACCGGCCAGTGGACCAGGTACAGGTCGAGGTAGTCCACGCCCAGGTCGGCGATGGACTTTGCGATGGCGGCCTCGGCTTCCTTCTGGCGGTGGTCCGTGTTCCAGAGTTTGGAGGTGATCCAGAGGTCTTTGCGCGCGACGCCGGAGTAGGCGATGCCTTTGCCTGTCTCGTCTTCGTTTCCTGGGGGTCATCGTCAGTACTACTCATGGCGCAGGTCATGCAGAGAGGACGGACTGTAGATCTTGGCGGCGTCAATGTGGTCATATCCAACCTCGCCCAACGCAAACTCGACGGCGTGCGCGACCTTGCCCTTGTCGGATAACCAGGTCCCCAGGCCCAGGGCCGGGATCTTGTCGAGGCCTGGGAGGGCAGCGTGGGCCAGCCCGGCGGCGGCGGCGGCGGTGGCTAGCGTTTTGAGATACACCATTTTCTGAAGCTGTTTTCACGATTTGACGATGGGGTTGTTCGGCCTGTGGAAAGGTGGAAGAGGAGGAATGCCCGCCTTTTTGATTCTCTTATCATCCCCAAATCGATCACCCTCACCGTACCCCTGCTCAGTCAATCGCATCATCCATCCCCGGCTCCCCTCCCCGCTGCGGAGGTGCACGGCAAATGACATCATCCACCTCCTCACTTTCACCACACCGCGCCGCGCTGCGTTGACACGCGCAACGTCGCAGCTCGAGCACGTCAGTTCGGGTCAATTGGATATGCTAGCTCACTCCGACCACGCATTGAGCATCGAGATGAGATGGACTAGCTTGAGCTTCAAAGATTCATCTCATCTAGATGTGCCGAGGCTTCATCGCCATCTTGTATGCCAGGGGTGAAGATAGGCTATGCCGGAAGAAGAAGGTGAAGCTCCGGTGGGGTCCGGTAGGAGGCCATAGCTCCCCGGGACAGCTCCGCCATCGGCGACCGGGGAGGTCCCATCGTCGGACATTGATCTCCTTGAATCAAAGTTGGAGGCAAAAATGAATAGCGTATTAGAAAACATTGAATTGTTGCTTGACATTAGAAACATGCTAATCAACCAGAAATACGGAACCACCACCCTTCAAACGCCACATCGCCACCCGTCGCTCGCCCCCAAGAAACCCTGTTACGCCGGGTTGATGATCAACTCAATGGTAGTGCAAGAGCTCGGCGGCGTCGTCGCAGCCTTGAACGCGTAAACATGCATGCCCGACCCCGAGTTGCCGTCGCCCGTGCTCGCCGGACGCACACAGAACAGGTAGTCCGCCCCAGCAACACTCATCAGCACCCTCGAGCGCCCGTCGCTCAGCATCGTGTACGAGAACACCTTCATCGCCGCGCTCTGGCTGTTGCTCCAGTACAGCAGGCTGTACGACCCGGAAGTCGAAACGTAGTAGTACGCGTTGTGCGTCACAGAGTACAAGCTCCCGTCGGCGGCTACGATGAAGGTCTCGCGGCTGCCCTGGCGGTAGAAGTTGTCCGTCATGTGTGTCGCGCTGTCGGAGAGCGCGTACCCCGAGTTGGCGTTGACGGCGGGGGAGAGGGCGAGGTAGCCGATTGTGCCGGTGGGCGCGTTGGGGGCCACGTTGATTGTGGTGGTCGAGGTGACGGTCTGGATGAGGGTGACGGTGGAGGTTGGCGCGGTGGTTATGGCGGAGGCTTCGCCGGTGGTGAGGGTCTGAGTTGTCGTCGCTGAGACGGTGGCGGTCGTGGTTACGGGCGTGGCGAGCAGGGAGCAGGCGGAGGAGACGACGTCAGCTAGGTGAGGTTAGTATCGTGATATGATGAGTGATTGGGGTGAAAACGTACCAGGGAAAGAAGCCAGCCCAGCCGGCGTGCCATCCCTCCTTGCCCTCCTCTTGGACGCCACGGCAGTAAGCTCAGGCAGCACGACAACATCCACAAAGTTGCCATCCGCGTCCTTGGTCCCATTAACAAGCTGGTCCTCTCTCACCCACAGCCCCTTGCGGACCTTGCTCGAGTGGTCCAGCGGTGTGAGATCGTCATGCAGACAACTGCTCGTCGCCCGGGGCGGCAGCGCGCGCTTCAGCTGCTTCGTGACAGCCACAAGCTGCGTTGTCGTGCTGTAAGCCGTCACGAGCGGTGTAACGGTGGCGACATTGGTCGTCGACGGGACCGTGGCGTAGAGCGTCGCCGTCGCGGTGGTCGTGGGCGTGGTGTACCCCAGCAGCGACGAGCAGTACGGCTGCAAGGTGGAGGCAACGATGGCGGAGCTGGCTGACGCGACGGGGCACGGGATGCGAGGTTTGCCTGCGTTTGTGGAGTTGGTGTAGGAGAAGCTGTAGGAGATGGTGTAGTGGTCGCTGCCGCGGTATTGGCCGTTGTTGGTGGCGTAGCTAACATCCCAGGACTTGGAGTACTGCGTGCTGTTAGAGACAGAACCTCAAGGACAACGAGGATGAGAAGGCAAACTTACCAGAGAGCAGTACTGCCCCTCGGGCACCCCGTTCTTCAGGACGAAGAAGGTGTTGAAGAACTGGCACGTCTGCGCGGGCGCGTTCTTGGGCGGGTGGCGGAGGTTATACTCGCTCTGCGCCGTGCAGGCTGCCGCGCAGAGCTTGGGGTCGAAGGGGCCGTTGGTGAAGATCTTGGAGCCCATGAAGGTGTTGTAGCCCGCGCAGTCGAGCGGCGCGTTGATGGAGGCGTCGCCGAGGTAGGCCGCGGGGGCGTACCCGGCCTGGTTATCGGCGCGCTGGGCGACATAGCCGTTGGACCCCGCGATGACGACCTCGAACTGGGCACGCCACTGGCCACGGTTGGTGGTGTAGCTCTCGTAGACGGGGCCGCCCCAGAAGACGCACTTGATGACGTTGGTGCTCGCCGGGTTAGGGCAGCTATCGGCCGGTTCCTGTTTCGTGTCAGAAATAGCTTTCTATTTGAGAGAAAGGGGCGGCGGCATGCTTACAACAGTGGGATCGCGCTCAAAGTAGATGTTGAAAGCCACACAGCCGTTGATAGCATCGCACTTAGCCGCGCACGCCTTGGTGTCGTAGCTGTCGAGGGTGGTGTAGCCCATGTATCCGTACGCACTGCTGGAGGCCTGCAGGTTCTTGAAAGTGTTGAAGTACCCAGAAGGAGTGGGCGCGTTCTTAGCCGCCGCGGAGAGGTCCGCGGAGCTCAAGAACGCGGCCGCGGTGTCGGGGCTTGGGAGGGGGCCGGCGCCGGTGGGCTGCGGGTCGCACGCCCCGCGCACGGCGAGATTCCGCTTGTCTGCCGTCACGGGGGCGGTTGCCTGCGGGAGCGGGCTGGCCATCACCTCGGCGACGATGCTGGCCGCGGCGGCGTTGGCATCATAGGGGACGATGGTCTCGGCGGCGGCGCCGATAGGGACGGTGGCGTTGGGCGGGGGAGGAGCGTCGTCGATGACTTGCCAGACGAGGTCTTGGGCTTTGGCGAGCGCGGCCAGGGCGCCGAGGAGAGGTGCAGACCTCATTTTTGGTGGTGTTCAGAGACTTCTGGATTGTTGCCAAGTGTTAGGGCTCAGTCTGAGGAAGGGGGTAGGAAGAAATGAAGCTTGGGTTGATTGCTGTGTATTCCTCTTGCCAGACAAGAGATGGGATGTCGCATTTTATACAGATTTGACGATGTCTCTTGGACCATAATTCAGGGACATTCTCCCAACTTGCCATGGCGATTTTGCTCCGGACGTGCCTTCTCGGCTCTCTCACGGGCGTTTTCACGATGCAAACAATAGTGTCCAAACACACACTCATCCCCAGAGCCGATGGGCAATAGATCGCGGAGCTGAACCACAGTATCGGGATAGCCAGCCATATCGTCCCATAACCTAAATGTCTCTTCTACCCTGTTAGTCACCAAGTCTGGACCGCTGCCGTCCGATTCTGCAACGCTACCGTCGCACAGAAGACTCAATCTGGGTTGAGTCGGTTGACGAATGTGGATACCGTCACCACGTGGACTCGGGAATCTAGAGATGCCGGCGCTTTCCTCAATGCCTAATTTGACAAACAAATTCAGCCCTGAGCGGAGGGACAGCTGAGAAGCTCCAATCGACCCAGAAAGTCGGGTTTGGGGGTCTGTGATGGTGGAGCCCCGGCTTTTCGCCAAGGTCTAGATTTCGGGATCGGCAGGGGTTGTCGACAAGGGGTAATTGCAGCTGACGATCAATAGTCTAAACAAGCGGTAGGCTCTTGGCTCCTTGGGGATTGTTTACGCGAAAAGCTCCGACAAAATCTCCTTTTGCGTGGTAAGCTAAAGCTTTGGGTTTTGTTTGTGGGATCACAGGAGAGGATTGGGTGTAAGATGTGGTCCA